TTGATAAATCAATGATGGTAAGATTGCAATTGAAACGTAGATTGAAATACAAAGCAATATGGGAAGAGCAATTAATAAATCCAACTGATGTTAGAGATGCGTTATTAATTTTGACAAAAATACATCCAGCATATAATAATATAAAAATAAAAGAAATTGATCAAAATTATTTGACTTCTGATCAACAAAATAATGATCAAAATAACACTGACTTAGCAATTGAACTAATGCATGCTAATATATCTGAAAAAGAAAATTTACCTGAAGAAATATCAATATCAGAAGAAAATCATATAAAATCATTAGCATTAGGAGATATTAATAATAATGATAATAGTGATGAAGAAATAGATGAAGATAATAATGATGCTCGTACTAAATATAATATTGGTACAGATTCATGTATTCAACCTAGTGATTTTCATGATTTTCTACTTTTCGATAAAGAACCATCTGTAGTAGCACCAGCAGAAAAAAATAAATTAAGTTCCTTGTTAACAGATAAAACAATTGAAGCTTTAGCTTTTCCTCATTTATTTCCAGATGGAAAAGGATCATTTGACGAAGAGCGTGAAATAAAAATCAAATGGAAAGAATATTGTAAAACACGTTTGTTTTCATCCGACTCGCGTTTCGCTGCTGATTCAAGCTATATCTTTTTCCTACAATACTTAGGCGACTTGAAACAAGTATATTCGGGAATCAACATTGCTTTTCGAAAAAAATTACCAATCAATGCAAAACAAACTTTAGACGATACGCAAATGAAATTTCTAATGAATAAAGATATGATCTATCGCCATTTGCAATGCGTTCGAGGTAGTCCACAATACTGGCATAAACGACTGAAAGATTTATTCGCAATGACACGTCAATTAGGTTTTCCAACTTTTTTCCTTACACTATCATGTGCTGATCTACGTTGGAAAGAATTTAATGATACGTTCGTCCGTCATACTGGTGCCCCCATTAAAGAATCATATACGTTTGAAGAAAAAACTAAACTATTGCGAGCTAATCCTGTTTTAGCAGCACGCTTGTTCGAGAAAAGATTCATGACTTTTATGAATTTCTTTATAAAAAGTGGAGCATCATGTTTAGGCAAAGTAAACGATTGGTTTGCTCGTATTGAAATGCAATTACGAGGCTCACCACATTCACATATGCCAATTTGGGTTGAAAATGCTCCGAAATACATCGGACCTCAAACCGATGAAAAAACTCGTCTCGAAATTGTCATATTTTGTGACAAATATATTACAACACGATTTCCATCACTGGAAGAAGATCCTGAATTACACAATATCATTAAAGAAGTACAAACTCACTCACGCAATCATTCAAAATCTTGTTTAAAATATCATAAGACAATGTGTCGTTTTGGATTTCCTCGACCAGTTGCTCGACGCACATTTATATGTGAACCAATAAAACCAACTACTGATGAAGAAAAAGAACATTATAAAGAGATTAAAAAAATTCTCACTGAAATGAATGGAACAATGAACCTCTTAGAAAAACAAAAAGTATTGGTATGGTCTGATTTTAACAATCTACTTATTAAGTATAATTGGACTTATGATGATTATGAACATGCACTATGTATAGTACATACTAGAACTATCATGATTCATAAAAGAGAACCTAATGCAAGATGGGTTAATCAATATAATGAAGAAATATTAAGAGCATGGGATGCTAATATGGATATACAATTTGCATTTGATCCATATGCATGTGCCAAATACCTTATGTCATATACAACAAAACCAGAGAGAGAAATGAGTCTGTTACTTGAAGCTACTCATAAAGAGTGTCGTGAAGGTAATATGACAGCACGTGAGGAAATGAAAAAATTAACAGGCACATTTTTTAATCATCGACAAGTTAGTGTGCAAGAAGCTATTTATTGTGCAACTAAAATGCCACTAACTTATTCAAGTCGAGGTTTTGTTTTTATACCAGCGCATTCTAACAGCTGTAAATTTTTGAAACCACATAATATACTGAAAGAAATGGATCCAGATGATCAAAACATTTATATGTCTAATTTAGCTGACAAGTATTTTGATAGACCAAACGATCCTGAATTCGATATTTGCATGGCAGATTTTGCGTCTGAATACGAAATTGTATCTATAAATAAAAATGTGAAAAATCCCAAAACACCAATTAAACGATTACAAACGCTAAATTTTGCAGTTAAGAAACGTGTTAATCGTAATGCAATCATACGATATCCTTACTTTAATCGAGAAACAGATAAAGAAAATTATTTTGAAAATTTACTTTGCCTATATTTACCTATAAGAAGTCGAGAAGATTTGAAAAAACCTTATGAATTATTTTATCAAATAGGTGAAATATTTGATAATCGACAACAATGCAACGTAAAAGTAAAAGATGTTGTACATGAAAATCGAAGAAAATTTGAAAGTAATATAAAAGAAACAGGAGAGGCAGAATCATTATTCAATCAACTATCATTGACTTTAAAAGATAATGATTGGGCTGAAATTGTTGCTAATAAACAAAGCAATAATATATGGTCAACAGATATTGAACAATAAGAGAATCCTGATTTTAATCTAATTCATAAAACAAAAAATAAAAATACATTTAGCGATATGAAACAAACCTATTGTACAACAAACGAAATAAGACCATTACTGGAATCAATGAATCATGAGCAACAAGAAATATTTTATTATGTTCGAGAATGGTGTATCAAACGTTTACATAATCCTCAGGTTGAACCTCTTCGTTTATTTATCACAGGAGGCGCGGGTACAGGTAAAAGTCATTTGTTAAAATGCCTTCATTATGAAGCAACGAGAATTTTTTCTCGTAAGAAACAACTAGATCCCGATGAAAATATAAATGAAATTCATACATTAATTACAGCATTTACTGGTGCAGCAGCTGTCAATGTTGGTGGAGTTACTATACATAGCGCATTCGGTATTGGAACTCAATTTCAGAGTTTGAATAATCAATTGTCTTCTGATAAATTGAATAGTTATCGTTGTAAATTACAATCACTAAAACTATTATTTGTTGATGAGGTTTCTCTCATACAGTCAAATCTATGGGGGGCCATGCATTCTCGTTTAACGCAAATCATAGGAGTACATTCAAATACAACCATATTTGGTAATATCGCAATAATAGCTATAGGTGATTTTTATCAATGTTCACCTGTGGCATCTTCAAGTATTTATTCTTCTTTACTTTGGTGTGACCATTTCGAATATGTAGAACTTAAAATTAACGAAAGACAAAAAACAAATTTTTTATTTTCTCAAATGCTAAATCGTATTCGAAAATTAAAGAAAAAAGAGGATATGAAAAAAGAAGATCATGATGTACTTGAACAATGTCATCAAAACTATTTAAAAAAAGAATATCATCTCGAAGCATTACATGTATTTCCTAAAAATGCACAAGTAGATTCACATAATGAAGTAATGATCGAAAAATGTTGTACAGATATTCGATCGTTCTATGAAGTCGATGCTAATCAAAAACAAGTACAACATAATATTTCTAAACAACCAAAAACGAATAATAAACCTCTTCGACTTGCTAAAAATGCTCGAGTTATGATAACAAAAAATATCTCTGTAAACGATGGATTAGCAAATGGCGTCACAGGTCGTATTATTGACTTTGTGGAAGATAATAATAAAGAAGTGTCGCGAATAATAATAAAATTTGATTCAAATACAGTCGGACGTATTCATCGAATAAATTGTCAGTCTTGTCAAGGAAAAGATTCAGTATGTGTAACACGAGAAAGTGATACTAGTGATCAACAAGAATCCGATTTCCGTTCAAGGAAATCAACAAAACAATTTCCTTTACGTCTCAGTTGGGCAATGACTATACACAAAGCTCAAGGCATAACAGTAGATCAGGTTGTAGTTAGTACAAAAGATATGTTCGGTACTGGAATGGGATATACAGCATTATCTCGAGTTCGAACTTTGGAAGGTTTATTTCTTATTGATTTACATTCTGATAAATTCTATTGTAATGAGAAAATTGACGGAGTTATCTCACAAATGAAACAAATGAAAAAAAAAGAAAACATACTTAAACAATCTCATGAGTCTATAAACATTTTATTTCATAATATCGAAGGATTAAAATTTAACTTTAATGTATTTACAAATCACTATATAACTCAAAAAGCCGATCTCATTTGTTTGACACAAACATGGATAAAAGATAATGATGATAAAGAAACGTTCAATATGAATGGTTACAAACTTATTCACAAATCAGGATTGTCTTCATTTATTGGAGGTCATACAGTCAATTCTGAAAATCGTGGTGGTATAGCAATATATTTCCGTGAAACATTGTCTATAAAAGAAATACAATCTGACAAAATATTAAATTTTGGACAAATTACTTTTGAAATCGAAAATTTTAATATTACTATTATTCTATGTTATCGATCATCAGAACAGAGTAAAATTGATTTTTTAACTAATTTGACTAATTCTATACAAGAAATCGGTATTGATAAACGAATTTTTCTAATTGGTAATTTCAATGAAAATACTTTAACCAAGAAATCAAAGCCTATTGAAAAACAATTAAATCTTTTAGGTTTTATTAATATTTTTAAAAATTCGACTACTACAAATAACTTAACTAGTATTGACTGTATCTATTCAAATAGAATTTCAAATCAAAATCAATATCATAATGTAGTACAAACATTTTATAGTTTTCATGACATATTAACTCTTACAATAAATTCTCAGGATAATATATCTTCCAATAATATAAACAATGAATCAATGATTGAAAATAAAATGGAAACACAAAATTCAGTTCACCGTTCATTGGAAAACGTTCCAATACCAAAAAGAAATCGAAAACGTAAACTAAATTCAAGACAAACACATGATAAAAACTACCACAAAGCTAAACTATCAAAGAACAATTTCGATAATATAAAGAGCTTAAAAGAAAAACAATTACAATTTCTTCGCAATATAGATATTTTAACAGAGAAAAGTACTATAAAAAATTTTCCAACTAGTTACAATTTAATTCAACAGCTTGCAATCATTGGTTTAGTAAAAATCTCGATATTAGGCGATGGAAATTGTTTTTTCCGAGCTATTTCACATCAACTTCATAGAGATGAAACACAGCACGCTCACATTCGTAATATAGCCATAAATTATCTGAAAGAAGATAAATATCGTTTTACACCCTTTATCGACGAACAAGATAAATCAATAGAAGACTACATCGCAAGAATGAGTCAAACCTCAACATATGCTGATCATCTTGTAATATCAGCGACAGCAATAGTTTTAAACAAAAACATAATTGTACATCAATTAGCTAAAATTCCTATATTGATTCCTGGCTCAGATTACATTGAACATCAATTACATGTATCTTACAATCGTAGTATTTTACATTATGAGAGTGTTTTCAGTTTAGATGGTAACTCTGCTATTATATCAGCAGAAAATCTAATACTGACTTGATTTTTCTAATCTTTTTCGTTTAACTATTTTTTTTTGTTTCTCATCTAAATTATATCTTTCCCCACTAATCTTAAAAATATTTTTTTGCATATATTAAATTGTAGTTATGATTTTATCATTTGTGTTTTTTTATCCCTACTAAAGCAACTTTGTTTCTCTTATTAATTACCAATACTACTCAAAAAAAAACTTTTTTAATTATCTACATATACATCGTCCACGCGCCAACATAAAACAAAACTGTAGCACTTCTTCTAATTATACATATTGTCACAACCTCATTTATCGACTTGCGCTTATAAGTGAAGGACATTTTCTAACAGACTATCTTCAATTCAAAGATCTTTACAAGAAAGAGGTAATACTTTTTGTTTAAAACACTTCTTCAATCAAAATTTATTCATAATTACTATTTTGTTAATAATCAAAAAACAAATATTAACATAAATCAGATTTTCGATTAAAACAATAAGTTAAAAATAATTTTAGGTAATACAATGGCTAATAAGTATACAAATAATGATACAATAATGGGATACATCACAAATGTATCTAATGAAAACAAGAAAAAAAAATATTTCGTAAAATTTACAATGTTAGTCGAAAACGATCAAATAATCGATGGTTGGGTTTTCAATGGAGTAGGTGGTATTCTATCCACACCACTTGGTATAGCTTTACACAATTCATTAAATAATAAAACTGGTTTAAAACTTTGGGGATCACTCGAAAACAACAATGGTAAGCATAATACAATCTAAATAAATTTAGCTTGAGAAACAAATCATAGTCATCTAAATAGAAAAAACAAAAATGCTGGAGTCATAATTACATTTAATACATAATCATTACTAGAAAAATTAAGAAAATCCTTAGTATAGATATTCATTCTCATTAATAGATAACTATATAAAACACATTCATAAAATGCTATATCCGATACATCATTTTTTATGCGATTAATTCATTGAAAAACAAAATAGTATTTAACGTCTTTCTTATAAAATAATATGTAAAATCATTTGTATAACAAATATTTACAATAGAAATTTGATTCCAAAATTAAAAAAAAAAGTATCTAAAACGAAATAAAAATTTATATCAATTCATAGCGATAATTTATTTATATATAATATATGATTTATTTAGGCACATCAACATTTCGTATGCAATCCTGGTCAAAACATCAGGTAGTCAATCCGAATTTTTATCTTCAAACAACCGTCAATAATATTACATCGATAAAAGATGCTTTACAAGGAAATGATTTTAATACAATACGTGTATCTGTAATAGATATTCGTGCATCAGAAAACTACACAGCTCAAGGAATACCAAGAACATCAACATTTGTATTGATTGGTGATGAAACAGCTACTTGTTATCTATTAGCAACTGACTTATCAACTGACTTATTGCAAGTTGAAAAATCTTACGATATTACAAAAACAAGAAAAAAATTCTACAATGATTCCTATGTACTATCAACTACAATCGACACACGCATATCACAATCTAATATCGTAAACACTAGTTAAAATATTAATAGTTTTTAATATACAAATTTCTATTAATTTAGATCGTAACACCTAATGTTGATGATGTTGCAACAATAATTAACATGAACTTAAATGATACAAAAACTATTACAACAACAATTAATGAAGTGGGCGAAATTCGACGTTTGTACAACTGCACTACATGCCAAGGTGATTTAAATCAAGTACAAAACGCTGCTGCATTGTTATACTGTGAAAAATGTCATCGACATATTTTAAAGTCAAATCTTGTATTACACATCACTACTACAATCGTACTAAAAAATGGTATGTTCACAAATTCTATTTCTAACTTCATTAATCAATTGTAAAATATATATCTATTTAGGAGAAGAAAAAATTATTTTAGCTGTCAATGATCGAGTGTTTCATCAATTACTTGAAATTATTGGTATAACTATTAATATGTTTGATACAGATATAATAATTGCTATGATGTCAACTGGAAATTTAATTTTCGAATATAGCGAATTACGTAAAGAATTATCTCAGATTCGAAAACCAACTTAAAGAAATCAATGACTATCAAAGTAAGTTAACTCATCTTATCGTGCTCTACATTTGATATCGATCATTCTTCATTTAATACAGGAAAAATCAACAGCCCAAAAAATCATATTCATCGATTTGCATAAACAAAAAAAAAACAATTTCTCATTTCAATAAATTTTCATTATTTGTAACTAATAGATCATATAAAATTAAATTAACAGATAAATAAAATAATAAAATAAATTTAACATTTATCTCCTCAATTCAGATTAAAAAAAATCATTATAGGTACTCAACGCAATGGAAACATCAACATCAACTACATCCATTTCGACAGAAGTATCGATTTCGAATTCTAGTATTATTATTATTGGTAATAAATTGCTCAAATATAATAAATAACATATATTTATATTCAATATTTTAGAAAAAGACGTAATTGGTACGGTTGTTAGTGTCAATAAATTAAAACATTACGCATTTATAAAAAGGTATTTTTTAATTAAATAATTCCTTATAACGACTTCTTTTTTCAGAATTGATAATCATGAACAACAAGATGTATTTGCTCGTGACGTTTCTATTATAAAAAATGAACGTAAACCAATATTCTTAATATCTGATCGATGTAAATTTGATATAAAAAAAAGTAATATACATTTACAGTCATTTGATTATTTAAATAACCTTATTTATTTTATTTTATAAGCAACTCGAGGTTTCGAAGCTATTAATATCAGTATCATACAACGAACTGATCTTCCCATTTCCAAATTTAAAAAAATACCAAAGAAAAAAATTCAAGATCAACAAAAAACGGAAGAATCTCTTCAACTTTTAAAATCATCGATGTAAAACTAATTGATCCTCTTTACTGTATTTATTTTGTTTTATATTCTAGCATCGATTTACTCCGTGAAGCCTTGAAATAACTACAAGAAAAAAACATTTAACATATTTACAAATATCATATCTTTATTTCAATTCATAAAATTTCTCTTTGTACATTATTCAAATAAAAATGTTCTGTAAAGAATTTAATGTTTTTAATTCATTAAATAAAATAAAATAAATCATTACTAAAAAACGTTATTAGCATATATGGTCATTTTCATTATGTAATCACGATAGGTTAATTCTAACATTCAAAACGAAATCCGAATAAATAACAAAAATAGTGATCATTACATAGTAACAATAATAATAGTACATTCAATATACAACATTCTTTCTGCACCCTATAACAGAAAAAAAAATAACAAAGAATATTTTTTACAAAAGGCGGAATGATTAATAAAAATACCAACAATTTCAAATCACTAAATAAAATACAATAAACTTACAAACATATAAATAAATCATATACATATCGATGATTACGATTGTCTAATTATTATAACATAAAAACATAAATAATTTAAACAATTTACAAAATCAACATTCATGTCCTACTTTATAACATACTAATCATTGCTCCCATAAAATAATTGAATTAGATAAAGTTTAATTGTTTACATTCAAAGAAAACTTGTTCCACACTTCATTCCTGACAAATATCGTAACCAATCGCTAATAGTTTCGAATATCGCATTACAATCTAACAGTTACATATCATGCCTACGACAACAACAACTTCATTAGATTACTCCTTTTGTTTTATAATACAAAAAATTATTACCAAAAGCATCATTTAAATGATTTTTTAAATATTTACTTTATTTTTCATTGGTTTAACTTTTTCCAATTAAAATCATACATGAATTTCTTTTGTTTTCAACACAAGATGAACTATCTTCCAATATGGTTATACTAATGATTTTAAATGATACACTTGTTTTATTTAATACTCCTTAAGAAAAAAATTCTATTCATAAATATAAGTTAAATATTTTTATAAAACAATATCACATATCTACATATTAGGGATATACATTAATTCATATCTCCTAATATCAAACAATATATAACATATACACAGGATTATAGGTAAGAAACAAACCTTCTATTTTAGAGGATCGATGAACATAAATATCACTACGTTATTACAATTATTCAATCAATACTTATATATTTGAATACGAAATTCGACTATAAAAAAAATCAAAACACTATTTCCCATTCTTTAATTCATCCAGAATATATTTCTTAGATACACAGCAACAACTTAAGACTTTTTCAACATAATTCTATGGAAACAAATTATTAATCCAAATATTTAACATATCCATAGTTATACTTATTCTACTTTAATTGACGCCCTTAATATAACTAAAATTTCTTCCTTTACTAATAATGTTTTCATTCCTTTAAACGAAATAAAACACATCTATTTTATTAACATTTTAAATAAATAAATATCTCTTCATTTTTGATGTGAGAATCCTTATTCTAATACCGGAAAAATGACTTCACGTAACGCGTATTTGCTTCGCACCGCATCTCGTAGTCGAGTGAAACTCGGGTACCATCTAGTTTTTTCTTTCTTTTTTACTTGAGATCGTACGCATCACATTTCGTCGTTTTGTGTCGCGATGATCTCGAGAACCGAAAATCGTAGAAAACTCGTTGAAACGTGAGATTGAAGTATCAAGATCGAACTAAGAACATCTGTTTTCGAATCTTCAATCTGCAGTTTCGTTCGTTCATAAATGTGCTTCCAAAATGACGAAAATGAAAGAAATTACTTGCAAGATAATTAAAGTGACGTCATGAACATCTGTTAGCCACTATAGTCTATTCATTTCCAGCTGATCTATGATAATGAATCATGGAGATAATTAATCGATCAATCGAAATCGATCCTTAAGAATGTATCGCTAAGTAAGAATGGAGTTTTCTCAGTGATGAATTTCATCATGTCGACATAAAAAAGTATTCAAGATTTCTCTGAATTGGAAATTTTTCGTGAATCCAGATTCCTGCTTCGCATCGCATTTCGTATTCGAGTGAAACTTGAATACCATCTAGTTAACAGCAGAAACTATATTATATTTCACATTTTCAGGCTCATGTTGAATACTAGTAACAGTTAACTAGTTGATTTCGAAAAAAAAGCTTTGAATTTTATGAAACAAAATTAATTTTGATATAAAATTAGAACTCAACATGTTGTTTCTTTTGCTTTTTACTTACTAAACACCATAACGTTCTGGTGGACATTGACATATTTGCAAGCCTGTTTGCAAATTAACAATACAGGTTGAATTTCCTCGACAAAGATTATTTGTACAAATAAGAATCTGTACAGAACATTGTAAACCTGTATATAATGGTGGACATACACATGTATAATTTGTTAATGATAATGTTAAACAAGTTGCATTATTTAAACAAGGATTTGAAGAACATGGTAATAATGGTATATCACAATTAGTACCGGTCATGATTGCTGGACATAAACATTGATAAGTACCATTTGGAAGATTTACACAGGTCCCCGTCCGACATGGATTTGGTGAGCAACCAAGAGATATGATTTCACATCGAGAACCTCAAAATATAATTTAATCGAGCTTGGTATTTATTATCAATTTATTCTTACCGGTATATAATATTGGACAAATGCATTGCCAATACGGGTAATTTCCTGTTGACATACAAGTACCACCATTGCTACAAGGGCATGATTGGCATGGAGCATAAATTTCACAATTTGCTCCATAGAAACCGGAATTACAAAAACATAAATATGATCCATAAGAATTTAAACATCGTCCACCATTGGCACAAATATCAGGAATTGTTATACATTCATTGATATCCACGCATCTACAAATAAAAAAATGAATTGAATTCGTTGGTTTATGCTTAATATAACATACACTCCCATTATATATTGAAAGCCAACTGGACAATTGCATACATAAGAATAAGTTCCATTAGCAATACAATTACCAACTAGACATGGATTCGTTTGACAAACATTTATTTGACATAATGAACCATAGTATGGATATGGACATTGGCATTGACAACTTATTGGAGATACTATTACTGATGTACCTGTTGCACATGAATAATATGAACATGGATTAATTTGTATTTCGCAATACGTCCCATTATAACCTGCTGGACACGCACATGCATATGTTAAAGGACCAGTTCGTACACATGAACCACCATTTCTACATGGATAAGATATACATGGATCAAATGGTGTTGAACATGTTAAACCAGTAAATCCAGGAGCACATATACATGTATAATTATAATAAACAGGTGATGATACGCATTGAGATGATGGTCCACGACATGGATAACTTAGACATGGATCACATGCTAATTGACAATTGACACCATAGAATGGCCATGAACACTGGCATAGATAGTAATTCGATGTTGGTTGTATGCATGTACCACCATTTACACATGGGCGACTTGAACATGCATAAAGACTAATTTCACAATTGACACCTGTGTATCCGCTTTGGCATAAGCATAAATAGGAAGATGAACTTTGAGATATGCATGTACCTAGATTTTGGCATGGCTGTGATGTACACGGTGCATATGGATATTGACATTGAAGACCAGCAAATAAAGGTAAACATCGACATATTGAACTTGGTGGTGTTGTTGGAAGATTAATACATGTACCATTATTGAAACATATTAAAGATGCACATTGATTAATTAATATTTCACAATTAATACCAGCATAACCTGGCAAACAAATGCATTGATACGTATTTAGTCCTTGTACACAATTTCCGTTATTTTTACAAGGTTGCGATACACATGCATTTATTAATATAGAACAATTTTGTCCGGTGGCACCAGGTAAACATATGCAACGATAACCGTATATGGCATCTAATACACATTGGCCATAAAAACATGGTGATGGTACACATAAATTTATTGATGTTTCACAACGTTGTCCAGTATAACCTTGATAACAAGCACACGAATAACTACTTGTTAGATTTATAATTTGGCACTGCCCATACAAACAAGGACATGATGCACATGCACCATCGGATAATCGTGTATCACAACGAAGTCCACTATAACCATTTGGACATATACACGTAGCTAAACCAGGTCCAAGATTATTACATGTCCCACGAATGCAATATGGGAACATGCCTATAGTTGTTTGACATAAATTGATCTGTGTTTGACACGAACTACCTGTATAACCGCTTGAACAGGCACAGGTACAAGCTGTTGGACTTGTTATTAATGGTATGCCCATGCCACATTGTAATAATGAGCAGTTGTTAATTAATGTTTGACAAACAACACCTGTATACATTGATGGACAAAGACAAGCAAAGGATGTTGGTTGTGAAATACAAGTTCCTTGATTTTGGCATGGATTTGATGAACACCAATTTATACTCAATTCACAACGCAGACCACCATAAGCAATCGGACAAAAACATTGATAACCAAGACCATTCGGTAGTACTGAACATGTAGCATTATTTAAGCATGGATTTGATAGACATGGCTGAACAATATTTGTACAATTGACACCACTGAAACCTGGCCTACATATACATTGATAACCATTTAATGTTTCTATACAGATGCCATCATTTTGGCATGGCATTTGAGTACAAAAAGAATTTTTTAATTGACAAAAAAGTCCTTGATACGAAGCTGGACATGAACAATTAAGTAAACCTGGACCAATATCATAACAGATTCCACCATTTAAACACGGAGATGATTGGCATGCTTGGACACGTATAGCACATGTTGTTCCTTGAAAACCAAATGCACATTGACATACGAATGAGCCTATTTGATTAATGCATGTGCCATTATTTAAACATGGGTTCGATGAACAGTAATTTATTAGTAAATCACATCGTTGACCTGTATAACCCGGAAAACAAGAACATATATATGAATTCACCAAAGGCATACATGTTCCATTGACGCATGGTGCACTTAAGCAATTATTTATTTGATTTTGACAAGCAACACCAGTATAGCCAGGTAAACATGAACAAACCCCCGTTGTTGAACTTGTTCTTATACATGTACCGTTATTTAAACAAACAATAGATAAACACGGATCAAGTGTGATTTCACAATTAATACCAGAATAACCTTTGCATGAAAACAAAAAATAAAATAAACAACATAATTCAATAAAAATCTTTCATTTGCTATTTACCAGTTGGACAAAGACATTGATAAGAGTTCAATGATGATTGTAGACAAATACCAGCATTTTGACATGGCGCCGAGGCACATTCATTTATATCAATTTCACACCGATTGCCTGTTAGACCGACTGAACACTTGCATTGATAACCAGTACTAGTTACAAGACATGTGCCATTGTTAAGACAAGGTCCAGAATTGCATTGATAACCACCAGATTGACATTGTACACCCGTGTATCCGCCTGGACAAATGCATTTAAAAGCATTGATCATATCGATACATGTTCCATTATATAGACAAGGATGACTTGCACATTCGTTGATATCTGTTTGACAATTAAAATCTGTATAGCCGGGCAAACATAAACAATAATAAAACCCTGGTGCTATTTGTTGACATGTACCAAAACGACATGGATTTGATGCACATGCATTTATTGTTAATTCACATCGTGGACCTGTATAACCATATTGACAAGAACATTGAAAACCAACACTTGAAATAATTGTACATGTACCGTTGTTTCTAAAGCACAATGATAAAGAGAAATACTAAATAAAAATAGAATATATAAACTTACAAGCAAGGACTACTTAAGCATGGTTGTGAAATAATTTGTTGGCAGTTTATTCCTTGAAAACCACTTGTACATTGACATTGATATCCAGTTGTTAATGTAGTACAATTACCATTGTTTAGACAAGGAGTACTGGCACAAGCATTAACTGGATTCTAGAAATAATTCAAAATTTTTTGATAAACATGATCAGACAAATTTTAAAGTCTCTAATTATATTGAATGAGCAGTTGTGTTAATTGACTGGAAAAATAAAATGTATATTTTACTTACATCACATAGAACACCCTGACTGCCCGAGTAGCAAGTACATATGAAACCATTAACTCTATCAATACATTGTCCACGACGGCACGGCTGTGTTATACAATCATCAATATTTATTTCACACATGTCTCCTGTAAAGCCTGGTAAACATTGACATGTATACCCGTAAGGTTCCATACCATAATTAACTAAACAAGTTCCATTATTAGCACATGTTATTTCACTTAAACATGGATCTATTTGTTGAGAACAAGTTAAACCAGAATACCAAGGTGGACATAAACAAATAAAAGCATTTATACCATCAATACATGTTGCATTTGACATGCAAGGATTCGACGCACATTTATTTATTCGAATTTCACAATTAATACCAGTATAGGATGATGATGAACATATGCAATCGTATCCATTTAGTTTCTTTCTACAGAGACCATTGACACAAGGCGAACTTGAGCAATCATCAATTAATAAATGACAATTTGATCCTGTATACCCAGGTAAACATTGGCATTCATAATTCCAAATTTGATCTACACATGTTCCATTATTTAAGCATGGATTTGATAGACATTCATTCGATTTGTTTTCACAGTTTAGACCAATATAATCATCAAGACAAACACATCGGTAACCATTTAATAATGATATACATAAACCATTATGTAAACAGGGACTGTTCAAACAATAATTTATCATTGATGAACATATTGTTCCCTAAAGTTTCAAACAAGTTTTAAAACAAAACCAAAATATATATTATTTTCATCGTTCTATTTACATTATATCCTAGTAGGCAATCGCATTTGTAACCATTAACTAATGTTCGGCATATTCCTCCGTTTAAACATGGATTCGATTGGCATTGATCAATTTGAATTTCACAATAAAAACCCGTGAACCCTATATTGAGTTATTTCATTAAAAATAAAGCAACTACATTTTAAATCGTTTCAATTCTACCTGGCATACACATGCATGAAAAATTATTCAAACTATTAAGGCATCGTCCAGAATTTAAGCATGGGTTCACCGGTTCACATTCATTTCTTTCAGTTTCACAATGTTCACCTAAAAATAATGCTTTCAAATTTTTAAAATATTTTCAATTTTTTATTTTACCCAAAAAACCATCCGGACAAAGACATACATATTGATTAATAAGCGATCGACATGTTCCATTATGTTGACAAGTTTGAGATTCACATTGATCAATTATTGTTTCACAAATTAAACCAGTAATACCATTTGGACAAGTGCATTGTGGGCCCAAATTTGTATTCGAACATATTCCGCCATTGTGACACTAATTAAAAGCGAATCTTTTTTCTTAGTTTAAACTTAAAAAAATGAGCATATTTTTACTGGCTGTGATTGACAATAATTAATAACCAATTCACAATTATCACCTTGATATCCGCTCGCACATGAACACATAAAACTAGTTTCGTTTCGAATGCATATTCCATCATTAAAACATTCAATACCAGTACATTGTTCTTGTACACGTCCACAATTACTTCCACTATAAGCAGACGGGCAGTAACATTCGTAATCATTTACTAAATCTATGCAGTTACCACCATTTAAACACTAAATAAATATTAAAATTATTATCATACATATCCTATTTATCTATTTCTTTTTTTTCTTCTTTTTTTTCAAATCAAAGTGCCTACCGGTTGTGATAAACATTCATTAATATTTATTTCGCAATAACGACCCGTATATCCTGGTTTACATATGCAAGCAAACGAGCCTGTTGCTATCGATATACATTGCTGTAAACCGTCAATGGAACATGGAACTGTTGAACAATAGTCAATTATGTCTGTACAGTGTGAACCTGTATAACCAGGTGCACAACAACAACTATAATTTGTTACTAAATTCGTACATGTTCCATGTAAACCACAGGGTAATGATGAACATTGATCAATAGGCATGTCACAGTTTCGACCTGTGTAACCACCATTACATTGACACGCATATGATGGCAGTTTTGTTGTATTCATAGTACATGTACCATAACCACAAGGATATTCAGCGCATGGATTTATCATTTGTTCACATTGTGTACCAGTATATGATGGTGGACAAATACAAATATAAGTTGCATTTGCATTAACATATGAATCTCGGCATGTTCCGCCATTTAGACAAGGTAAACTTAAACATTGCGTAATTATTGTTTCACATCTTAAACCAGTATAACCAGATGGACATAAACATAGAAAACTATTGGTTTGATCAATACATGTTCCATTGTTATAACAATTTTGTTCTTGACAATCATCGATATTTATCTAAAAAATAAAACTTCTGTTCATATTTGTTTTTGTTTTCTGTTTCAAATTCTTACTTCACAATAAACCCCAGTAAAACCTGATTGACAACGACATGTTAGTATACCACCATAATCAAAGATGCAAATACCATTATTTTGGCATGGTGAACTTGCACATAAATCAACAGTTGTATAACAATTTAAACCAGTTAACCACATCGGACAAATACATCGATATGAACCTATCGTATTAATACATGTTGCATTTGGATGACAGGTTAACACTGATGCACATTCGTTTATATTATTTTCACAAAACATTCCTGTCCAACCAACAGGACATAAACATGACAATGATACAATATTATTCACACAGGTACCTTGCAAACAAAAGAAAACAAATTCTGCATGTGATCCTAGTCGTATTTACCATTATTTTGACAAGGAATACTTGAGCATGAATCGATTGATATTTGACAATTACTACCCATATAGCCAGTTAAACAAACACAATTATATTCATTGATACCATCAATGCATACACCAGCATTTAAACATGGATATGATAAGCATTCATTAATGTTATCTTTACATTGAACACCAGTCCAACCAGGTTCACATACACACATCCATGTTAATGTTGATACAATACATGTTCCTTTGGAACATGGCTTACTATCACATGGACTTAACGTTGTTTCGCAACGATTTCCTGAATATGACCGGAGAAAAAAATAAGAACGATATTTTTTCCTGTGACAATCGATCTCTTATTAGTTACCCGTAAAACCCTGTTGACATGTACAACTATAATCATAATTTGTACCATTTGTTTTTATTTGGCATGATATAGAATTGGATGCAATACATGGATTATTTGAACATGGATCTACTGGAATACTGCAATCACTACCTTGATAAAAACCACCACATTGACATACATAACCATTTATGGTATCAATACATGTGCCACCATTTTTACAAGGCAATGATATTGACGAACAAGAACTCATTGTTTGTTCACAAAGAGAACCTTTTAAGAAAAAGAATAGATTAATTTGTTTTGTACATAGAAAATAATGTTGTCTAACCTGTAAATCCTTCTCGGCACGAACATCGATAATTCGTATTATTATTATTATTATTACAATTCAATGTATTACTCGTAACACATGACTGGGAAAGACATGGATCGGTAGCAATCGAGCAATATGTACCAGTATAAATCGATAAACAAATACAGGTAAAACCTGTAATCATATTAATACAAACACCATTATTTTTGCATGGTTGAGAGCTACAATGATCTATTTTTATATCACAAAATTGACCCGTATAACCTGAAAAAAATTAAAATATTACTTAAAAAACAATCAAAATCTCTCTTTTCTAATTGATATACCTATCGGGCATGTACAACTAAATGTTATGTTGCCTAGTAAATTACATTGAGCACCATTTCGACATGGTGAATAATCACAAGGATTTAAATTTATTTCACATAATGAACCTGTATTATAAGGTGAACATTGACATTGATATCCAGTAGATGTGCTTAAGCATAAACCATTATGCTGACAAGGATTAATACCACATGGATTCATCGGTGTCTCGCATAGACTACCTATAATTGAATTCATTTCGAAACTTTTTGTTAATTTATATCTATAGAACTTACCCGTAAAATTGGATGGACAACAACATGAACCATTAAAACACGAGCCACCATTAAGACAACCGGTTGAAATAGAACATTCTTGGTCGATATTTGCAGGGAGAGTTTTTGTTAGACAACTATTTATTGGACTCCAACCTGGCAGACACTCTTTTTCACCTTGAGCATTACAATAGAAATGACCTTCAGAACATGAATTCGGTGCACGACATGGTAAAGTGCAATTAGGACCATTGAATGTAGGTGAACATTGTTGTTTTTCTTCACACTTAAGTCCTGCATATCTAAATTTTATATTCAAAGAAAAAAGTTATCATCTTCACTGTTTTATACTAAACAAGAAATGTCAAGCGAACTTAAGATAAATTAAAGAAAAATGACATTCTGATTATCTACGAGAAAACAAAAAAAACTACAGTCTGACAAATTAATAGAGCTTACGATATACGATTGTTTAAAAAATAAAAATGATTTTCATATTGGTTACGTACCCAGTTGCACAGCTACATACATAATAATATGAACGTGACAATGTATCATACGCTGGATTACATAAACCACCATTCGAACAAGTTACATTCATAGTACATGTTGAAAGATATTGGCAATTAAGACCAGTAAAACCTTGAATTTAAGATATAAAAACTTTTCTTTCACAACAAAATCAAGCTAACTAACCAGGCGAACAACAACATGTCGGCTGATTTGTATTATTAAATACTTGACAGAAGCCACCATTGCCACAAGTCAGTGCTGGAAACAAAAATTAGATCATAGTTGAAATTTTAATTCTAAGTAAATTTTACCAGTTGAGACACAGCTTGGTTGAATGTATGATGCATTTCGAAATGTACATTCAACTCCATACCAACCGGGCGAACAAGCTTTTGCACCTGTTATTTTATCACATGTATACGAACTTGTACAATCATCATTTGAAATACATCGAATAGAACATTGTTTTCCGTAGTAAGTCACTTGGCAATAACTCATTAAGCCAATATTTAATCTATTTTTACATAAATATATGATGGATATATTACCAACATAGAAAATACAAAATCTCATTTACTCATTCGTCGTTGTTATATTTCTTGATTGATCAACAAGTGTTTGTCTCAAAAATACTCCGGATGATAATGATGGATACGATGAATCAATTCGAAATGTTGTATTAAAACGACTTAATAATGAATTTTGATTTATTAATGTGAAATTTCCAATATTTGTATAATCATAAAATATGAAAATTTTAATATCGATTGAATTCTAGTTATAGCATGCATATTGAATAGAAACGATTTTTAAGATCGAAAAAACAATATCTAACTTACATCAGACATTAATGCCAATGGAAATTGAAGAGGTAAAAATGTTGACGCAGTCGATGTTAAATAAAAATTTAAAGAATCAGAATAATTTACTGCTAGTTGAAATGATTTAGAACCCAATGGACAAAAAGTCCAATTTGCTTGCAATCCACTAAAATACAATATTTAGATAATTTTCCTTTTTCAAAGAAAGCAAAATATCAATAATATATATATATATATATATATACTAAATGATTTATCAGTCTATTTATAAAATTCTTTTATAATTACGCCAGCTGTAATCTTACTAAATTCAGGGACGGCGCGAAGTAATAAGAGTAAAGGGGGGGGNAATTATGCATCAATGAAGTAGAAGAAATTGTTATTTTACATTATCACAAACACAGAATTTATATACCAATTTTTTCTTATAATTGTTATCAGTTGTCTTTTTTTTTACTAGAAAATGTTTTAGGAAAGAAAAAGAGGAAAAACCTGCTATTTCCATCTTCAGAAAACTGCAAGAAATATTTTCAAAATTCATGAAGCCTGAACACTAAAATTTTTCCGAATAAAAATCTCAGATTAACTTCCTTTTTTTCTCAGAAAATACCTCTGAATTTGATTCTACTAGTGAGAGATTATCTTTAATTTGGGAGGAAAAATCTCTTCTATTTTCTTCAAGTCGGAGGAAAACTGAAGTCAAAATTTCCAAAGTAGGAGGGGGAACCTCACCCCCCCCCCCCTGTTCACGCCGTCCCTGTACTAAATTGACAAGAGCCTTTTGTTCCACAATTCACAAATATTGCAATAAAAAAGCCTATCAGATAATATATGCATTAAATTTGTATTGAATTCGTTTTCTTTATTGAGAGTTATAATAAAGAAAATCAACCTGTAAGGATTCAAGAATTTTGAATGCGCTCATTTTGTTTTTGCAATGCTTCATCATTTTTCATTGTTTATACACGGTATGCACGAATACATGAATGAATGTAGTCAGTCAATAATTGAATTATGTTTATACGCAAGGGTGGCAATTCGAAGCACTCATTGATGCTTTCGATTCTAAATAAACTAATAACAGTAGTCTTACCTGTAGACAAAATCTAAGCAAACGATCGTATATAAATTACAGGATAAAGCTGATGAACAATTTCCTAACGGTATTGAGCCATCACAACATTGGCCAGAAATAGTGAGAGCATTTTTCATATCAAATTGAGTTAAATCAACAAGTAAAATAGAAGGTGAATCTTGACAATCAATCTGAATGCACAAATAAATATAAGGTTATCAAATTAGGAAAATAATATTGACAGAAGGATTATTCAAATCATGCGGATACAAAAAATATGAAGTGTACCTATTTAAATCATCATCGATGAATAAGTGATCTAGATATACCTAACTACTAGTATAGCTGCAGTCCTCAACGCAAGAAAGACAATAATCAAATTCGTCTATTTTCTGATTTGTTTTAAACAAACTTGTCAATACGCATGATTAACAAAGAAAGAAAAACTACGATTAACAGATGACAATATATAAATAATCGTACATCAATAAGCTCATCATAAAAATACATAAGATTTCGCATTTTAAAGATTGCAACTTATTGTTAACTTACTTGACGATTATTGAACAATAACAATACGAATAATACGCTTAGATGAGAGAAATAAGTATTGTACATTGTTAGTATCTAAAATAAGAATTAAGATTTATGATAGATACTTTTCTACAAATGATGATGAGTCTATATGCGATCTTAATGCATAGAACTGTCCATGAATTTTTTTTCTGCTGAACTTTTATAGAAAGTTTTGTTCGAATGCAAACATTCTATTACAATACTTAGATATAGTTCGGTCAGGAGTAAAAGTTTCAAAATTTTAGATATTATGAATCGTTATTACATTCTTTTTTTTTTATTTCTGTAAGATTGGGAAGAGAAAAATTTTGATACAAGTGAGAACTCGTTGAGCGTAAAATTACCTTAGTAAAACGTGTAAAATGTTTCACAGATAGGTAAAGAACGCCAATTGGATTGAACTGTCTCGATGTCGGTCAGTGGTATCTCATATTGGGGCGCATTAGTGATAGACAAATTGTACATTCATATAAAATTATAGTGTGAAACGATGTTGATAAGACGTCTGACATCTATTGAAAGTAACTAACGCGAAAGAAGTGAAGAAATGCAAAGATTCTTAGCATCTAAATGGATGGCATTTCGTGCATCACTCTACATATATCGGAGTATTATAAGAGAATAATTCTATTCATATAGTGACTTTTAATAGGGTTGCGTGAAAAGAAGCTTTTTTTACTGCTCCATACAATCATGAGATTTTCACAAATTGATCAATACCTGAGTAAAAATAGAAACCGAATGCTTTTTTTATATTTCTCTGTTTTTAGTAGCTTAGTAATCGATTGGAACGACAATATAATAGAGCAACAACAATAAAGACGAAATAAATGCCTCCTCTCGATTTTTGCTGTTGGGTAAAATTGTGTGTGTGTGTGTGTGTGTGTCTATGTCAGGGAGTGGGTGAGACTGAAAGTGTAGATTCAATGAATGATTAAACGATAAGTCGAAAGCAATAGAGAAAGAAACTAAGAATTCTTATCGTACGTGTCTATAAGTTAGATTTGATTATGCATAAATGGTTTCCTAGCTCTCCCTCTCTCTTTCTCTCTCTCTCTTTCTCTCTCTCTCTCTCTGTGACTTACCTGAGAGAATTCTTTCTCTTCGTTTTTTCTTTTTATTATAAATCAATGGATCTATTGATGTTATTACTTTTCGTACTCTGCTGAACTTTCACTCTCTCTTGTTCTTTCTTTCTTTCTTTCTTTCTTCTATAATTCTAATATCACACGCAAATGGTACTTTGTACTATTCTGTAATGTTCATCGTACAGTGTGCAGCATTTCACTTACAGCTATGTTAGCATTTTTATTCCAATCTGACCAATGCTATACTGATCTAGAACTATTCGATTTTTGACACTAATATATAATACATTGGACGAGTAGCCAAATATTTAGATACAAAAAAAGAACAATGCCATCTAAATTCTAACAATTTTTAGTTCGCTAGTCACAGTCATCTCTTGATTGATTGTTCATTATACAATTATGCCCGATGGTAATATATTATATATGATTGTAAAACAAAAATACAATTGAGACAACTCTCGAGAAGAATTGGCTTGCAGTTAGTCATCTATTTACTAGAAGGCATGGCACTTACCGACTAATCGATTAATAAAGAGATGATAGGTAAAAAGAAAGTTTTTTCATTTCTCTTATCATGGTTAGGTGCTAGTGATGAAATAATTGCTCAAACACAAATTGTGATTGGCTAATATTTTAGAAACTTTGATGAATAAACAGGTGATCATTCAACTACAGGATCCATAATGACTTTTTCTATTGTAAAGTATGAGTCCACTCGCATGAGTTACATCATCATTGCTCTTACTATAGTTATAGTTAATTAGAAGTGGACTCACTCTCCATCATCAGGATTCGATCGTATTAATAGAGATCAAAGAATTTAAACGATTGCTCAGATGCCAAACGATTTGTTAATGCTATGGAGAAATCAATAAGAAAATATGTTACAACTTCTAAGTAGATTACATCAGAATTTGAACATATAATAGTACATGTTATTTTTTCTCCAATATCAAATACGTATAAATAAATTATAAAGGTATCCACGCTGATCTGTTTTTTTTTAAGCAGCATTTGAAGCTTGTTTAAAGTTCTGTATTTCATCTTGATTACGTGTGAAGTGATTGATACATCGCTTTTAGTGGTCATCTAGCGAACAAATACGAAGAGGCCAAACAAAACTGGATCAACTACACTATTTTGATGTACATAAAGGAAACTTCCAAAGATAATCAATATCGTTGCGGTAATCGATGCTCTATGAGCAAAAAACTTCAATACTAAGTATACTACAAGACCAAAATATTGGATTGCATCAATTGACACATATTAGTAAAATTGATTGCGGTTGGACTAATGTTATATTCAAAATCATATGTCAGTATATACTCAAAGACAGTCTTTCATGTACAAGTTAGAATAATATATGTTGCGGTGAATCTTTAAAAAAAATCAATCTTTAGAAAAGAAGTTTATTACTTAAATTCATTAATATATTACAATATTCAACTGAGCAAAATCGTTCCAAACATAGATATTATTAAAATTTTTAATCGAGTTTAATATACGTATATTGTTGTAGTAAGCTTTAGCATTATACCGTAGAGAATTCTGTCTGATTTTCTATCATGTCTATTATTATCGGACGATGTTTAACATATTTTCAGATCTGTCCGCCAGTTAGTTATATCTATTTTATATTTGAAGAAAAACTATGCTTACTGTAATTTTCGGTATGTATCAAAATGAGCGAAAGAAAAAATGTCGAAGGAAAAAATGCCGAATGGAAAAAATAGTGAAAGCAATCATAGCGAAATAAAAAATAGCGAAAAAATTTATTTTAATATTTTTTAGACTGCTAAGATGAAGATTTTATATTGTGTGATAAAATTTTATATATATCAAAAAATGAAATGAATGAAGCATAATTAGTTATAAAATTAATAAAAAGAAAATATTTCTTTCTTTCGTTTGACTATGGCGAGTGGGAAGCCATCAAACAATAGATAGGCATCGATTTCAAAAACCTTTTTGTATATGCGTATTGTATCCAATTCTTTCACAAATCCAATATTTTTTTAATACTGTTTCTTTTTTTACTCGATATATAAAATCGTTTAAATTAGCGGAGGATTGCCTTTATTAGAGATGGTAAAGGATACTCTTCTTGTATTCGATGTCATCGAAATTTATACTAAATTAACAACAAGTGATATGCAATGGAAAAAAATAAGGTATGGCGTATCTTTATTTCGTTATATCTTTTGTGTCCTTTGTGTTTATTCCGTTAGCTAGATTGGACGATGATACTATTGACGAAAAACGCTAGGCAGTAAAAATAGATAATACAAGAAAACGGAGGAATAAAATATCACTGACTGAATTTTAAAATTCAAAAAAAGAATTTATGGAAAAGTATACTTTTCGCTATTCCCATACGATCGACATTTTATTTTTCGCTATTATTGTGTTCGACATATTTTCTTTCGCTCTTTTTTCGTTCGCTCTTTTGAATGCCATTCTAATTTTCACCAGAAGACAAACGCACGGAACATTATGCAATATGGCGATTCAATATCGATAGAGATTAGCGAATAGTTTTCATCTATTAAGTCATTATTAAATTAAAGCGCCATCACGTACTTTTAAATGAATATCTTTTATTCTATGTAAACGCTATATCGTTTTCGTCATTGGGACATGTTGTCATAGCTGTTATATATTTATTATTTTGTTATTTAACTTCTTTGAAACTCATCCATTTACCATTGGTATCGAACCCGTCTATTTTTACATTCAAGCATTTCAAGTTTGAAAGTCGATAGATTTGGTGTTTATACTTGACTAGAGTGTGAAAAGCCAAAAGTTGCGTGTAGACTCTTTGTATACTCAAAAAGTGAGTACACTACTAAAATCGGTCAGTGTGTCCGTCCGTTTATTCGATAACTCTTCACAATTACATTCGATTGAGCTGAAATTTTGTGCACAAAATTGTCTCATCAATATCTAGGTCGAGTTCGAAGATGAGAAGGATCCATCAAGAAATGGCTGAGTTATCGAAAAAATTGTCATTTTTGATCAGACCATCCCTGAGGGAGGGGGGGTTTACAGGGCTTTTTTCAAATTTGTTTTTCTCAGAATTATCCACAACATATATAAATCAACTCAGATTTTAACGCTGATTCTGAATCTGATATTAGTTTTGAAGAAAATCATAGTTTTCTGGCGAAACATTGACTCAAAAAGGCCTCAAAATTCACAAAAACTGAATGCAAAAACCAAATTGCCTAGATATGTCTCAGATGACCAGCAGCTTGAGAGTTTCTCAAATGCCTGGTTTTGTTGCTAGTCAAAAGGACTATCGAAATGTAAAAACCCGAACTCGATAGCTATTACTATTGAGGATTTATTATGAAAATACTGATGCCTGTATCTATCATATATCTCTTATAAATTCATGAGGTTGCTTACGATCGTAATCCTGCTAGATACAAACACAAATCCATTCAAAAATAACTCTTCTTATCCAGTTTTCCAAGCTGAACACGAATCTGAACTCAACTTCTGTGATCTCTAAAGATATTATATCACGCTGAGAGTAGAGTCAGTAATCACTGGATAGAGTTGCATACAGTGTGGTCCATGCTAGCTTAGCACGCCTGTATTTTCTCCTTGCAATTTAGTGAGAAGGGATGTAATTATCTTGATGAGATCTATGCCTTATAGAAAAAAATGGATGTACATTTTCGCTTTTTGAAATACACATAACAATCGGATGCAAGTCCGATGTTTCCGCATTTATTTTTGTAAGATTTCGAATTCGAGCACAAAATAAATATTACAGAGTATCAGATGATGATTATATATATGGAATTAACAGCTGTTCAGAGTGAGTAGGAAAGAACTAACTACTTTCTAACCAACGATATTGTTCATATGACATTTTTTAGATGATTTTTCATTTCTTAACGTATTATTTGGCATTATTTCAACAGAATTTTCTTTTCCCAGTCATCATCACAGAAATCAAATGCAGGTTTCTAAATAGAGCGTTGAAAGTTATTTACATTCATAAACAAAATTTTTTGAGACAAAACAAACATTCAAAGACTTTTTTATGGGAAATCAGCACCACTTAACCTTTCCATAGAACTTTTTTTTTGCCCGTGTATCATCGCTTTTTCTTCAACAGAAGTATAATTTCGATAATGAATGTGTTGCCAGCATCTGAATGAATAAAAATAAAAAATTGTGTTCTTTTCTTTTATTATTTATTAAAATCTAAACGATTCTCGAGTACTTCATCGAAACATAAAGTTCTTCTATACAATCACAGAGAAACAAATGGGTGAAGATGAAGTAGGTTTTTTTCAACACCATAGAAGAGTACATCTAAAATCTCTTGAGCATCTTCAACTTATTCTTCAGTAGTACATGTGCTATAGGAGAAACGATCTTAAATGTGAAACTATCAAAATATTGTAAATCTAATTAAAGTAAAGTATTCTTTTTCAGTAATATCAGATAATAATCATATTATCCTCAAGTTTTTTTTGTATTTTTCAAATCAATCCACGTAATATTTCATCGGCCTAAACATTTTGACGTGAATACGCACGTGCCGTCTGTCATCAGTATTTTGTTTCTGAAAAACATGGAAAAAAAACTCTATCTAACAACACGTTTCTATATTTATAAACAAATATTTAAGAGAAAAAAAATGAATAAAATAAAAACTAAATCGATTTCTTCACAGGGCACTATCAAACCTTAAAACAGGTTTTGATTAATATCAAGAGAAATATAAAAAACGGTGCAAGGTGAATCTAGAAAATCAGTTAATAGTAACCAACGCAACTAGTTTGAAAAAGAATATGCATCAATGGATCCTCCATCATATGAAACAATTTTTTATCAGTATGTCAAACAGTCTATCATGCAACAATGATCATCTTTGTTTCTTTTTAGACCAAACTCAATACCTCCATCGTATGTATCATACGGTCAACAATTGATTTGCACTAATGGTCATATAGGATCAGATTCACAAGACCAAATTCGCAATATGCCGTTTACACAAAGAAACGATCTACTTGTGCCTGTTGAACACTCATTAACAACGGCTTCAACCTCAACAAATATCACTACAAAACTTCAAGCATTTTATATTTTCTCTAGTATTACTTATTTACTATGGGGTGGAATGGCTATCGGTCTCGAAATTTCAATTCTTGTTTATTCTAGTTCAGTATACTATCGAGGTGTATTTACAGGTGGAATTATGATGGGTGCGGCATTGCATATGTTATTTGCTGCATGTCGAGTTTCTTATTCCATTAATTATATGATACGATTATTGATTTTTGTCTTAATATCTTGCATAGTTGGAGTTTCCTTATCTATTGTTGACTTGAGTGTTTCGAAGAAATGTATCAATCCTATCAGCAATGCTATGTGTGATGAACATATTGGACGTATGTTAAAACTGACCATTCTCATTGAGCTTGTATTCGCAACAATCCATACTGGAGTTAATCTAGGTTTCATGAATAATTTTCAGAAAAAGTTGGTATCAACACCGACTACTGCGTTTGTGTTAAACAATCAATATTGGGCATAGACAATGACCGTGTTGCGATGAAATAATAATCATGCATCCTTTTCATATCTCATTACAATAACGTAAAATTCATTACGTGATAATTTTAATGTACTCTTAAATTTCATTGATAGACGTTGCATTATGTATATGAATTTTGTTGTTTTGTAATTTAATCTAGTATGTACTTTAGCACAGTAACATGTTCTCAACAATAAATATTAGAGTTTTCGTTTTGTTTTATATGATCTAAATAAGAATCATTGTGTATTAATCAAATGATACAGAATTACATTATTTTTGTGAGAGACCAATCTAAACGATAAAGAAAGAATTCAATTTTTAACCAATGGCAAAATAAAATGTGCAGTAAAGAATTCCAATAATCTTAGAAAAACGATTCGTCGCTTTAGTTCTGTATGAGATGTACACAGCAGTCACTTTAGTTGATTTTTTATTCGACGGAAACTCGAAGTATTTACCTGTCACATAGTCAGATGAACAACTTAGACAAGTCATTTTAAGTAGCACAGATTTATCATAGAATGTGCTCGCAAATTGAATATTTCTGTTTTGAATTGTAAATTTAAATTGGGCAATATTATTTTAATACCATAATACGTGTCTATAGATTAGAATTCAAGTACTAGATGATATATATCTATCTTTGTAAATTTACCTTTTTCTAAAACTTTGAATAAAGAAAGAAGACCTGTCGGAATTTTCTGAAGATGATCGATATCTCAGATTGAACATTCAAAACAAATACGGATATAAACTCAAGGCATCCATCTCTCGCTGGCAATGCTAAAACGAGTTTATGACCATTTACCATCGGATACAACAGAACTTAAATATTGATTGTGGCATCAGTCGATCCAAAAAAAGGAGTAGACGCTTTAGTAAGTACTTAGACCAATGTTTATATTAATATATTGCTAAATACATTTTCCGTTTTCATAAGGATTTTATTCAATTGATTATCTGACTAAACGCTCTCCATTTTATAGTTTCATCAAAAATACGCGATAATTCTGTAAGGTTTGAAATGTGAATATATACAGTCGTTTACTTTGATACACCGTTTTATCTGATTTTGCACTCGAAAAAGACTAGGCACACTTTCATTTTAAGATTTTCTTTTCTCTTTTGATAATGCAGTTAGAAGTTGTTGTTATTCTTTATTTTGCAAGCAAGCTGTTTTTTAACATGTCAGTTAAAAGCTAAAGTAAATAGAATCAAAATGTTGTTTCAATATATTCATCATATTTTCTGTAGCAAGTGTGTTTCTCACTGGTGATTGCCCATCATCATTTAATATTCAGACAAATGCAACAGATATATCTTTTCAAACATCGTCAACTCTTCTTATTATTCTATCGAAATCTTCATTTAAATTAACTATAATTGATCAAACAACAAGAAATGTTTTGCTTCAAAGTAGTAGAAATATTTTTGCTGGTGTTTGGGGCGGTGCTTATGAAAATCTATATTCTGGTTACATGTTTCGTGTTGGCTATGCGAAAGATTATCGAGCCATAGGAGTATTAAAATCTTATGCATGTTCATCATCTTCGAAATCAATCATATTTTCTTTTGATGAATTCTATCCAGCATTTATGCAACAGGAAAAAAATGATCGTAATATTCATTTACAAATTGAATATACTGGTCGCAAGAAACATTTTAATACACAATCTTCACATTATTTTTTTTCCATTTTTAACATTATCATTTAAAAGTCGAGATATCAATGAAGATTATTACGGTTTTAGTTCATATTGGGGATTTACTAGATTTCGCGGGAAGAAATTCTGTACTCGGAATGAGAAGGGTAGTTGGTCTTTTTCAATTTTCCTCCAAGAATCCCACAATCAAATGCTACTTATATAGCTATGCCACTTTTTATTTCAAATCGTCAATATACTGTTTGGGTAAATGAAAGTCGACGAGTCAATTTTGATCTAAACTCACCAAATGAATGGATTATACAATCAGAATGGAATGCAACGAATATACAATTTTATTGTCCAGTAGGAAATTCATTTTTATCAGAGTACAATATGTCGAGACCATTTGAAAGATTTTTTAATCTATATAAGACACAAAATCGCAAAATCAATCCATCATTTACAGCGTTAGTTCAAGCTCGTGGTGAAACAACTCGTATATCACCATTGTTTGTATTTGGACCATGGACACAAACAGGAAATGTTCTAAATAACCAAACTGAAATTGATGTTGTGCAAAGAATGATTCCACTTAATATTCCAATAACAGTTCGCATTGGTGTTTTACATTTTTTCCCATCGGGGTCGCAACAAGGTAAGAAATCTATCTTAGAAATTTAAACGTAGCTAATGTTTTCTCCTCGTTTAAATTGATACATTTACAAAAGAAGCTAGAAAAATTGCGTGTCTTCTATTCGGTTAATCCATTTCTTGGATCTTCAGAGTGTAGTAAGTAATTCAAAAATTTCTCGAAAATATTTTTTCTTTTTCGAGAAACTTTGAAAATTTCTCAGTAATCATATCATCCGTCTTGTTAATTCTACTTTAGAGATATTGAGTTTCGTAAAACTTTAACATTCTTCGTCGTCGGTTATACAAGTGACTATTGTATTTCACTAGTGAACAATTAAAAAGTGCAATTTATGATAAGTCTAATTTATTATGAACGATCTTAGATTTAGCATGAATATTCTATGTTAAAGGTCATAAAGATTAAATTCGTCAAGAAAATGTTGTTTATAAAGAATTTGGTGTAATATCGATGTGTTATTTTAATCCTTACGTATCAACATCATATAAAATATTATTTAATGAATGTTTAGAAAGTGATTATTTTCTAAAGAACAGTTCTAATCGAGCATATTTATTTCCCCATTTTGGTGATCCAATAAGTCGTCATTTTGTTTGTTGGTAGTATTGATTTCAGCAATAAAAATGCTGCACTTTGGTATCAAAAACAAATTCAAGAAAGTATCGATCTTGGTCATAATGGATTTATGTTAGATTTTCGTGAATATACACCGGTTAACTCTATATCATCAAATGAAATGAGTGGCCTTGAAATGCACAATCATTTTATTGGGCTCTATCAAAAAACAGTTTATGAAATGACATTGAATTATACAGCTGTTGAAAACATACTTCATTTGGATGAAAATGAAAAGAAAAGTTCATCAATTAATTATCAATCGGATTTTTTATTTCATGCATGTAGTGGCTATACACATAGGGCACAATATTCTCAATTACATTGGCCAGGTGATGCTAGTGTTGATTGGAATATATATTCAGGTATACCTGCTCACGTCCAAGCTTGCTTGGTGTTGGTATTAGTGGCGTTTTATATTGTTCAAGTCCCATAGGTGGTTACAAGTTGGTACATTTTCTGGTTTTATTCACGATGAAACTGAAGGTTCAACATGTACTCAAGAACGTGTACAAATGTTTACTAATAATCAAACTGAATATATTGGGCGACAATATGCAAAATTAAGAACACAAATTTTCCCCTATATTTATACATTAGTACATGAAGCACATGCAACTGGTCTTCCAATAACAAGACATCATTTACTAACGATATTACAATGATGAAACAGCTATTCAACAAGAATAGCAATATACATTCGGAAATGATTTGTTGGTTGCACCTATAGTACATTAAAATTAATTAGTACAAGATGTTTATTTACCGTTAGGTGAAAATTGGATTGATATATCAACAAATCTTATTTATGATCATGATACGGACGGTCGATATCGACTTGGAAAAACTGATATATTTCATGGTGGTCAATGGATCATGAATGTAAGAGATGATCTTTTAACAATTCCATTATTTGCACGAGCTGACTCAATCATTCCTCCGATTGATTCAAGTGCTTTTACATAAAATCATGGCCAACCCATTTCAATTTATGATCGATCATATATTTTACATTTATGGATATTTTTGAAAGAACAAAACGAAGCTAATGGTCTTGTTGTGGGATGGATTTCATGTTCAAATAAATACTTGTAAATTAAATCAATCAAATATGTATAACTATTGCTGATCCTCTAAATAGATTGCTAGTTTTACAATTGCCTTTTAATAAATCGCCAAATACAATAACATCTTCTACAATGCAATCATTTGAACATGCCAATAATTGGCAAATCGTAGCAAAACTTCTGCCAAAAGAACAATTAGAAAATTGTTTTACATACGATATAGAAAATCATGTTATATGGATAGTAGTTGTTCTTCCACAGCAGCAATCCTCATTTCAATATTAAATTGATTTTTAAAGACATTCAACTTTTTGCTTTCTATTCCAAAGATTCTTTATTATTTTATTTTTCTAATTAGCTAGTCGTGAACAATTATCAATAGTATTAAAAAGTAAAAATTGATATAAGATGTCACTATCTCATCATCTATGTGATATCGGTTATGTACGAAAGCGATTGTTATTTGCTAAGGTTCTTTTGACGGTGACTCATTGTGGACACACCACATCTATTCATCGCTGTTGTCACTATATAGATTACTGATAAGAAACAACGAGAAGAAAAAAAGCATCGAATAGAACAGCAAGTGTATTTATTTTGTCGTTTGACTACAATGCCCTTGTTCTTCAGCTTATTTCATTTTGATCGAATAAAAGTAATATTCTAAAATGATTCTGATCCTTTTTTTCTAGATTGCATCTTTTTTCTTCTTCTACCTTTTTGTTTTAATATGGCATTTCATCAAGCTGAACATTCTCTTCTGGTGATTCCAGGTCCAATCGAAGTTAGTGATGATGTTCTATTCGCTAATGCAACGCCATCTCAATCGCATATGTCGAAAAGTTTCACAGAAACTTTTGGACAAGCGATTAAAATGTTTCGACAAGTACTTGTTACTGAACGTGGCCAACCATTTATTGTAGCTGGTAGTGGTACACTTGGATGGGATATGGTAGCGTCAAATTTGATTGAATCTGGCGATGAAGCACTCGTGTTACATTCAGGCTATTTCGGTCAAAGCTTTGCTGATTGTTTAGAAGCATATGGTGCCAAAGTAACTCAACTGAAAGCACCCGTTGGGCAATGCCCATCGCGAGAACAAATAGCCGAAGCATTAACAACAACAAAATACAAGTTGGTCACTGTTACACATGTCGATACATCAACCGGTGTTCTAAGTAATGCTCAAATGGTCTCTGAAGTAGTGCATCAAATAAGTCCTGACACATTGGTAGTACTCGATGGGGTATGTTCGGTTGGTAGCGAAGAAATTCGTATGGATGAATGGTCATTGGATGTTGTGATGTGTGCTAGCCAGAAAGGTTTAGGTGTGCCACCAGGACTTAGTCTTGTATGTGCCAGTGAAAGAGCTGTTCATTTTGTTGAAGCTCGTAAAACAAAAATAAACTCATATTTTGCCTCATGGTTAAATTGGTTGCCTGGTAAGTTTGTGTAACTATCTAAATCATTTACTGAAATGTATTCTTATTTTTGTTTTTGTAGTAATGCGTGGTTATGAACAAAGTAAACCAGTATATTTTGCAACACCACCTGTTCAACTTATCTGTGCACTTCATGCCAGTTTGAAAGAGATTACTTCAAGACCGATTGCAGAACGTTGGGCAAAAAATAAACAAGCTAGTACGGACTTTAAAGATTTTGTAACAAATGAACTTGGATTAAAACAAGTATGTTTCTTTTCTCGACGAGTGCTATATTCATCATTTTATTTACCAAATCATCTAGGTTCCAAATGATGCAGCCTTCGCTGCCAATGGTATGACAGCTATCTACTTTCCTGAAGGTATATCAGCATTGGATATCATTCCACGATTACTTGAACATGGTATAGTTGTTGCTGGTGGTCTTCATAAGGAAATTAAAGATAAATACTTTCGTATTGGACATATGGGTCTAACTGCTATTGATACTACAACTCGCCGCGATCTTGAGAAAGTCAAAGATGCTTTAAGACATGCATTTAGCGCTGCTGGTTACGTAAATAAAAATATCAGTAAATAGACAAATTAACTATGAAATTATTCTGATGTTTCTATCTGGAATCAACTTCATTGATATAACAATAATCCATTGATTTTATAAAATTCCAACGACATGCTTGTATGTTTTTTCTCCTTTGTTTACTTTGGCATGTTCTTAATATAGATGACATTGTTGAAGTGTTTTATTTAATAATGAAAATAACCTTACACATATGATGGTAGAGTTACTTGATTTTAAAATATTCATAAATAATGATAGATGAAATATTTGATAACGAAAAAGAAATAGTACAGGTGTAGAAAAACATATTCGAATTTTTTTGGTAAACATATAATTGCGTTTAACCATATGACTAAATTAAGGAGCTAGCAGCTGTCGACAATATGAATGAAAAATAAAAAATTTCGGCATATTTTAAGCCTGATTTCGAGTCATAACTTTCAGAAAGAGAATAGGTGAAAATCTACATTCCATTTACATTCTGTACGTGTAGATGGAAACAAATAATAAAAATATAAAATATGTGCATTCATATGTTTTAAATCCACAATATATGTATCAATTTTCAAAATCAATCTTCTGGGCTCAAATTTGAGTAAATTTTCTTAACTTTGTTTTCTTCGTCGGTAGTACTTTCAGAATTCATTTCAGCCCTAAATCAATACTAGAATCTTCAAATAATCACTATCAGGTATGTAAGAGTCTTTGATTTGAAAAATATGAAGAATAAAAAAAGTAATGAAATTTACGTAGCTCATTGATTTAGAATGTGTGATTGACAAGTTTTGTGTGCAGTTGTGAAGAAAACGAAACTTTCTTGATGATTTTTCTTTTTGAATAATAATGTATTATTCTTAGTAAATAACTAATTCAAGTGCTACTCGAGTAATACTCAATTGAATGAACCGTTCTATTTCTAATAAAGATGATTCATTTAGATAATTTGTACTTACCATAAGTTGATAATTTTTATTATTGAATTATCAAAATCCATTGTTATTGTTATCATTGATCAAACATACTCTACGTCGAATCTGCCACAAACACTTCCTGATATTCTCGAGCAAATTTTATCTACTTTTTTTTGTCTTCTTCTGAGATTTCATTCACACAGTGGTTTACTCGCAAGTAGTAAAAATTATCAAAACTTCACAAAAATGTGTTTCTATATGCATTTCCTCATGATTTTGTCATACATATGTTATTACCAATCGCCATTGATACCCATATAAAATAGAATCGTACCAATGTTTAGTTAAAGGCTTAAAATACTTTGATAATTATTAGTTTTTGAACATATTCATTCTTGTAGCATTGCAATGAATCTACTATATTTTCAACCTTTTGTTTCTAAAAAAAGAATAATTCAGTTTTTACGTAAAAAGAAGTTACAATATATTAATCATTTAATAATCGAGACAGTGAAGTATTGAATAACCTTTGGAAAATATACAATAGATTATATCAATACAATTGTAGTTCGATGGTACATAACCAATTGTGATGCTATATTATTTGTTGTCGAAAATCTAACTATATAAATATCATTTCTAAGCGTCTTTTCGTCGTATACATTTGTGAACACATACAATCGAAAGGCACTTGCAAACATTGCAGATCTATTACTGCACGTCGCTCGATCGTACATTCGATAATTTTCTAGCATGCGAAACATGAATCATATTGCTTCATTTATTAATTTGACACTCAACAGAACTTATCATAAAAAATGACATAAAATAATAGAGAAAAGCAAACATTTGGCCCTCGAATGTATTGGAAGAAGCGAAGAAAAACAAAATAGCCATCATTTTCTCTTTAAAGCAGTTCGAGTACAGAACGACAATAAAAAAACAACAAGAAAATAACGTTTTTTTTTGTATCCATATAATGTTTGCCATTCGAGAAATATGCTACCCATTCAGTTAGAGGAAATTGGCACACAACATAAGTGCATAGTAATACATGGCAAAATTCTGAATGAGTTTACAACTAGTTTTAAAGAAGGTTCCCTTTTATTTTTTACTATTTTTCTACTTATTTAGATACTTTTCTGAATCTATTTAATTAAACTTCATGGATACTGCTAAGGGTAAGCATCTTTACACATGTGCCGTGTTTATCTACATGATTGTTTTCTATCTATAGTATCAAGTACACCTACATCCGCATTGCCTCCACTCGATGATATCAATGATACAAAACTAAGTGAACTCTATAAAGCAATGGCTTCACCAGGTGATGAACCTTCAGATGATTTTGCTAAAGGCATCACTTATAATAACATGAATTGTGATGTTCGATGATGATCATTCATAACTACTGATAAATATATACTTTCCTATACGTACATCAAGTCGATTAATATTAAAAAATAAAATTTTGCAAACAGTTTGTTCATATCGCATTTATTTTTGCTTGTACAAAATACAACTTCTTCATTATATTTCAGTTGTATATCTTTAAAAAATAAAAGAAGAAAAAGACGTTGTTCAAAAACTATACTTAGCATTGCAAGTTTATAGCTTTCCTGCAATTATTTGCTATTATATAAAATATATTTTATATATTTATTGTTGATTAGTATAAGCATGCTAAGAAAAAAAGATCACGATACAGCTATTCGACGAAAAAATTTCGTCGTTCCATAACATACTCGACCTATACACTAAACTTTCAAGTTGATATTAACACGTGGCTTGTTATTTGCATGTAAAACGATTTGTAATCCATTAGAACATGTTAGATAACACATGTGTAGAGGCAAAACAAAACGAAAATAAGATTTGTTATTTTTGTTTTCTGTGACTGTTGTCAACAGTCAATTATCCTGTCAAATTTTCTATCAAAGTTATGCAAAATAATCACGAAAAATCGATCGATATCTATTAGAGGTAAAATACCTAATGGCCTATCTGAATTTTCTTTAGGCTATTTACTGTTTCTGGTAATACATTGATCAATTGTTTCTAGCTAAGAAAAATATAGACCACATTAATTATATCAAAAATAATGATATCCACAAAGACTATTCCAATTTTCTTAAACGACTATAAAGTAAATATTTTTTCCGCACTATTGACGACACTTTTTGCATATCTAACATTAGAGACGTCATTTTATTCGACATACATACGGACAGTGTAATCCGGAGTAATCTAATATACGTGCCACAAAGAAATACCATATTTTTTGTGTGGATCCATTTGTCTTTGCAATCTAGCAATGATCATAAAAAATTAGGTAATAAATTTGCTCCATACAATCAATTTTTCATATCAATAGCAAGTCTATTAGATCATTTTTAGCTTTTAACTTTCATGTGATTCTAAAAGTTGTTTTGAGCGTGTTTTTACTCATTGGGGAAAAGACGTAATAGATTTTCATAATTAATTTGTTTTTGTAAATCGGAAATCGTGGTTACACTTTAGTAATACTTTTTGTTTCTTTTACAGTTTTCTATTAAAATCAAACAACTATCGTTTCCTAAAACAATATCAGCAACTCCTATAGATAAGAGAGATGGTAGACAAAGAATAATGATGACAAGACATTAAAATCATATCTATGCCAGATGCGAATTATCTTTTGACATCAAAAGCATTTTGATGAAATACTACTTGCTATTTGTGTTATCCGTTGATGTAAAGAAAAACTCTTCTCGTACTTTCTATGGAATGTAATATTATCGAAGTCACGAATTTCAAAATATCTTAACTGAAACTTTTGTTTTGGCTTTTTTCCAATCTAATAGTCGGAGTTCGAACCCTAAAATAAAGCTATCTATACTAGAATAAACTATAATTTAACACATGATTTTGATTGAAAGGTTTATATGTGTATTCCACATTTCATTTTAACATCAGCACTTTCGATTGATATTTTAATATAACCCATATAGTATAGAGATCCGTAGAACTTAATAATCAAAACTTGATTAAAATCATATTCAATTTTTTTTGAATAGGGTCTAAGAAAGTCGTCTTTTTTATTATTTCTTTACAAAAAAAAGCAATAGTAAAAATAAGCCAATTAATGAAAAATATTGAAGAAGCCAGTGACATTAAAGCACACACACATCATTTGGCCCATCGTTCTATTGTTAATAAACTTCTAAAATAAAAAAATAGAAATGAAGAACTATTTTCGAAAATATCAATAAATAGTAAGAAGCAATCAACATGAAAATACAATAATTGATTAGTAGAATGATTATCATACGCACAAAATCTAGTCAAGAACAGATATGAAAAATAAAAACACTGACTAATCAAGAAAAAAAACATTAGTATAGCTAAATCATATTTCATTGAGTTATGTGCACGAAAACAGACAAACAATAAGAATTGCATATCGATCACATTCATTTACTCTTCAATTTCAATTTTGACATTATTCATCAGTTGTGTCTCTCTTTTGTTCTGTATTCCCTTCTTCTTGATCGGTATTATTTTCGTCTGTAAAAGTATTTTAGAATAATTAATCGAAAAACATAAAGATAACGTTTTTCTTTTCTTTTCCTTTAGTCGATGTCTCATGATAGATACTATCGATAAACTAAAAAAGAAACAAAACGTTTTACCTTTTAATTGTCCGGGCTTTTTGTCAGGTTCAAGATCAAGTGAAATTTTCTTATCGCCTTCACCTGAATCCAACCAACGATCAACAGGAAATCTAGCCAAAAAAATATTCAAATGGATTATGTTTTTGCATAGGACATTTATTTACTTATAAGTTTCATTTCGTGCAACATAACGAACTTCAATTGAATCGATGTACCAACCACTACCTATACCCCTTCCATCATGTTCAATTCGGATTCTTTTAAGCTTAAATAGAATTAATTATTACAGAAATCTAGATGATCTTTTTCTTATTTTTCTTTTTTGAAAATTTTACTTTGCCAAAATCAACTGCAAAAACTTGAAAACGGTCTGTGGCACCTGATTCAAATAGATTAAGTTTTCTATCAATTGCTTCTTTTAATTGTCGCCGTTCAAGTTTGTCTTTGTCACCAAATAAGCTTATGTATACATTGGCATCTATTATAGATCAATGTTAACAATTTGTTTTACTTGAGAAGAAAATCAAAGACTTACCAGTTCCAGCTGATCGTTTATCAGCTGTTTTAACTGTTATTTCATATTCAGTGGCGTTTTCAGCATTTGTGTCTTCTAAATAATTTTAAAAGAATTAATTAAATTAGATCTATTGTTGTTTTCTTTCGAAAAGAATAAAAGCTAAGCATAGCACATAGCAGAAAAAATAAATAAGAGAGCAGCTGGACGAATATTTATCAAACCAACCATCATTATCGAAAAAGTCATCATAATCAGCTTTTTCAGAAGAGTATTCAATTTTAGTTTTTTCATCCATAGGCGATATTGAAGAACGTTTTTCTTCTTTGTCATTTTCTACTGCTGATATATATATATATATATATATGTTAAAGATATTAAATAGTTAAAAACAAAAAAGTGGGTGAGAAATTCCAATAGAAAAATAATTTATTTACCAGGTGCAATTTTTGATGTAGGTTTTGTGTTAGGTTCAAGTTCAAGGCTGATTCGTTTATCACCTTCATCAATAGCAAGCCACCGATCGATAGGAAAACTTTAATGAATAGAGTTTCAACATTAAAGAGATTAAAATGTGAGCGTTTCCTACTTGACAGTATTATTATTATATGTAACGTCAATAAAATCTAAATACCAACCACTGGTTATACTACTACCATCATGTTCAATAGTAATTGTTTTCAACTAGAATACATAAAAGCTTTTTTTTTCTATGAATTTGTTTCCAATAAAACAAGTATACTTGTCCAATGTCAATATTGTCAAATTCAAATTCATCTTTATGACCTCTTTCAAATGGATCTGAATTATTTTTAGACTTTTGAAGTTGATATCGAATAATTTTATTCTTATCACCGTAGAGAGATAAAAATACATTTGCATCAGTGCCTGCTGATGCTACTGAACCTGTTTGAACAGTTATTGTATATCCTATATATAGATTGAAGGGAAACATTTCTTTTTCATATAATATCTAATTCAAATCTATGAATTTTATTACGCTTATTTGAATTAGATGATGGTTCATTTACTGTGGATGTTGCTGGAGTTGGTTCTGGAAACAAAAACATAAACGAATTTTGTTTAGGTATTGAAATAATTCAATATTCTATTACTTTTATCAGTTGTGGTTTCCTTTTTAGGCGTTTTCTGTTCGTCGGATTTCGTTGTTTTCGATTTCTTTTCATCTGGTTTTGTTGTTTTTGAATTTTTATTTCCGTCATTCGTACGATTCGATGGTGGTACTGGCTCAGTTCGTTTCGTTGTTTGTGGCGATTGACGAGATACAAGTGTTCCTAACATTTTACTTTCTAAGAAAAAAGAATAAAAAGTTAGTTAAAATCAGATTCTTCTCACTGATAAATTTGGTTCTGACATAGATTCTGATTATCGTTAGGGGTTATCTTCTATATAAAAGTTTCCATTATCAGCAATCTTTTCATGCCGTATGATCATTATGCACAATGTTTTTAGCTTAACTTAGAATAGTAGAAAGGAATCAAGAAGTTTCGTTCTGAAACTAAGTATCATAGCTGTTACGATATGGTTTAAAATTTAACAAAAATAAATGATTTCTTGTTGCTAGAACAATGTATCACCATAACAACTAATCGTATCATATTTTTCTTTTGGAATATTCCGGAAGATTACTGAGGATATGCAAAGAATCGATTTTTCTCCTCGGTCTAGAAACAAAAGCAGCAGATTCTGTTAGAATTGTTATTTCACATTCGAACTCCATCATTAGAAGATTGTGAATCCAAACGGAAATTGTAGAATGAAAAAATTCTATTCCTATTTTTTTGTTATTTTTATAAATTTACTTTTTTCATCTTTTGTTGTTCCGTCCGAAGAAACAATAGCTAAATAAATTAATATAGTTAATTCATAAAGAAAAGGTGTAATATTTCATTTAAACTTACATCCTTCAAGATATAAATCAACAACGGTTGTTGTTGCATCGATTGGTGCAGCTAATATAAATCTAAATGCGAAGAAAAAAATTTGAAAATACCTTTTAGAAATGAAAATACTCGTACCTATGTTTTGCTTTTCGTTTACTATCTGTAACTTCAATGGAATCAAGTGGCCATGATTCAATATCAGTACATGATAATGTAATCTTCGTCATCTATAAATAAAAATGAATTCATAAATTAATTAATTCGAAACTTTAACTATTAAAAATTTTACTTTTCCTGCATCTAGTGCTTTCTTTTTAAATGTTATCGATTGGCCATCGTATTTCTTTGGATCATTTTCATCAGTACGGAAATCAATGGCACCCGAGCTTCCATTATCTCCATAGATTGTTAAACGAATTGTGCTTCGGTCATCATCACCATACAGAATATTATCGTTGCTTCTTACTTTGATTTCATAATTTATTTCTAGAAAAAAAGAAATTCAATGTTTTCAAAACAAAAAACGAATTGTTTCTCTCTTTAAATTACCTGTGCGATCAGGTGGAGCTAAAAAAGATAGACGCATAGAGAGAATGAACCATTAAAAAAAACGAATTAAATAATTCATGCACTTACTATCAGCTGCCCCTTTAGCAATTTGGTCTTGAGCTTCTTTCATTGCACGTTCAATAGCTCGTTCGGCAGCCACATCGTCTAAAATGGAAAACATGATTTATAATCTGTTTAATTTCATTTTAAATTTACTAAAAAACAAAAGGAAAAAAACTGTCATGCGAATAAAAAAAGAAATTAAAGTTCGAAAAGCATTCAACAAATCCATGCAATATATTTTCTTTTTGATGAAAAAATATCTCACTTGGTGAATTTTTTATTTCTAAATAATTTTCAATAGATAAATGAAGATTTTTCATGAACCGAAATTTGAAATATGACCTTGTAAATAGACTTACTTTGATCTTTAGCTAAAGCAAGAGCTTCAACAAATGTTTGTTCAGCTTCACGATATTGACGTAATTTTGTTTGACTATGTGCAACAAGAACTTTAGCATTCAACTGCCATACTGTATCATTGACAGCAACAGCTTCAGTAAATGATCGTTCACCGTAACGTTTCGATCGTTCATAATCACCTTAATAAAAATGAATGTTAAAGTTTCTTAAACATGCCTTTTTCTCTGTCTCTCAAACAAACAAACCAAGTCCAAAATGACATTGACCAATTTCATGAAATAGCCAAGCTTTTTCTAATGATGATGTTGCTAGAGGAATCTTCTTTTCCCATACTTGAATAGCTTGTGGAAATTGGCCACTACGTGCATACACTCGACCCAGATTGTCCAATGCACGTGATGAACGTTCAGAAAATAGTTTTGTTTCAGCAATTTTCAAATCTCGATTATGATATTCTAATGATTTATTGTAATCACCTAATTCTAAGTAAGCATTTCCTAAACGTGAGTAAACATCGGCTAGTACAGATTGTTTTTCAGCAAATTTTCTTTCATCTAATCGATCACAGAAGTCAAGCAGACGTTGTCCACGACGACGAGCATCAAGAAATTGATCTTTATTTTGCTCTAAAAGAAAACAATAAGATTGAATTATGTATTTCTTTTTCAAAATGCAAAAACTATTGAATTACGATCATCGATGGCTTCAAGTTCATGACGAATATGTTTATACGATTCTTCATCGCCTTCAAGTTTTTTAATAAATCTTGAACGAGCATAAAGTGGCTCTTGTTGACGCCAAAATTCTGTTCGACTATCCAAATAGTCGAGACCCTCTGATGCTAATTGATAAATAGCATCACCCGTTTTTGTATTTGCTTTTGTAACAACTGTAAAGTTCAATTATAGTCAAAGAAAAAAAAGCCACGACAGAACAATAAAAATGATTACCTGTATTATTAATAATTTTTTCAAGAAAAGCTCGATCTTCATAGAGATCACCTAAAATTTGTTTGGTTGTTTTTGGATTAGCTACAGGTGCATGCTGTTTTCGTTGAACAGTGGTATCTTTCTTTTGTGAAGCACGTACATAGCCCATAGGTTGCTTCTTTTTCTATTAGTAGTTTAGAACAAAAAATAGGATAAAGCTACCAATTCATATTCTATAGAATACACTATCAAAAAAAAACCGAGAAGCATCTTGCTTTGTTAGCAGTTATATCACACATGAGCAATCAAAATTTAAAATAGGGAAAATTCACCTTTTTGCTTTCGTCCTGTGAAATGACATGCAAATGTGCAATAAATGCGTTTTTTTTTAATCTGTAAAATTTACCTCGTCGTTTTTGTAAAAAATTGATAGATCACCACTGGCTTCAAGTTTAACACGGTTTGGATCTAATGTGAAAAAGAAAAAAATAGCATGTACTACATATATATAAGATATTCTTTTGATAAATGATTACCTCCAACTGAATTATCAATTGCTTCCTGCGCTTTGTTGATACCTAATTGAAATTCGCGAAGATCAGGCCGTACTTTCTTTCCACGGTGATAGAACATTAATGCCAATTCAAATTCACCCATGGCATAAAGAGCTTCGGCTTTTTGATACAAACCCTTTGGAAAAATCGTACAGTGAATAATAACTAAGAGGCACAGCAGTGAAGAAAATTACTTTTGTGAATTCCTTATTGGTTTTCAACGATTGTTCTGCATCCTGTAATGATAGATCATTTTTTCCAATTTTCAAGTAACATGCGGATCGAGCCACTAGACCATTTAATCGATCGGTAATATCTTTTTCTGTTGCTTTGTCTTCATCGGGAGGCAAAAGATCAAGAGCCTGAATAATTTATTTCAATATCACATCTTTCTCAGAATAAGTAAAGGTTTACCTCGGTATAACATTGAATAGCTTTAGTATAAAGCTTATCACGGGAAAACTTTTCACCTTCGCCCATTAATGCTTGAAAACTTTTCAATGGACCTTTCGTTTCCGAGGAAACGCTCATTTCTTCGTCTTTTTTAACCATCGTTTGTCTTGATGCTTGATGTATGTAAAAAAGTAATGTCCGCTTGGTTTCAAAGCGACCGAATCTTGTTGAGAACAACACCCATTTTCAATTTATGCTCACTGCTAAACAACAACACCTACTTTTTTCCTTTTTTCGATAGAGATCGCTCAGTGTCAGTGAAAATTTATGTTCCGTCTTTGTAATACGCTCATCTCGTCTGAATGAAAAAGTAACAGTTGTGATTGAAATTAATAAATGTTAAAATCTAGTATCTAATGAGTATTGCACGCTTTTAATCATACTGTATTCAATGAAACACCAAACTTGAAAAAAAATAAAACAAACATGCACAAGTGCCCCGACCATTTCAACTTTGGGGGNTCCTTCAAAATGCTAGGGACACGGGTGTCACGAGAAAGCAAAACTTGGGGGGGAGGGGGGTAGCTTATAAAATCCTACTTTCCAAAAATGTGGAGGGGGAATAACCAGTGTTGCCAGATCTTCCACGATTTTGAAAACTCCTGCATTTTCACAATTTTACCTATTTTTTCTGAACTTTCCCTGATTTTTTGGGTTTTTCTGGATTTTTTTTCGAATTTGTCGGGAGTTTTTTGGATTTTTTGAGGATTTTGACATTTACATTCTGGATTTTTGAGTTCAACATTTGCCAATACTGAAAATAACTGATAAAATAACGCTTAAGATAGTGTAAGTTTTATTTTGTAAAACACAATGCAAGACAATTTTTCGAACATTGCGGGGGGAGGTGTTACACCCCCGTCACTTCCCACCCCGTCCCCCAGTCGGGGCACCTCTGCATACATGATCACTTAAGTGAGACATTTGAAACGAAAGAAAAACTTATAAGAACTATCATGTTCTTTGATTGCGATTGAAACTTGATAGGACAACTGCTTGTATGTTACAATGCATTTTTGATATGTATCAATATTGAAAGATATCTATTATTGGAAATTACAATAAATGTGAAAAAAAGTTATAGTCATTTTTTTGTCTTAAAATGATCCAACAGTGCTTTTCAATATCATGAATATATTTCTCACGAATGTAACTGATGAGTATCGAAACATTTCTAAGATATCTTATTGATTTCCCCGGTAGAGCAAACATTCTGATCGAATGAATGTGGAGTTCTACTACAATATTGCAAAACTTCATTTTATTTGTGTTTCACTAAATTGAACATTTATATATAAATATCGTTTCGTTAAATGAACTTGTAACTGTTGACATCTAACATTTACTATATAGTAGAGTTATTATATAAATTCTTCAAAAGCAAATAATTCATTTCAATATTGATTCTCAATTATTAATGAACAATAGACCATATACAAATGTTTCAATCAGTCAATAATAATGATGTCATCGATGTATATCATTGTCAATATAAGTCATTATTTACCCATAAATCTGACTTATACATTTTGATAAAAAAAATAACATTTCTATGACTGCTATTGTGCATAGACTTAAAGAAAATGTCATGAATGTTATTCGGTTCTTTATGATTTTAATAAAGTGATCGGCATGTTTCTGTGACTTCAGATGCTTTTAAAAGAAATGTAAAAGAAAAGTGTTTGTCGTTGTCAAATAAAAAAACTCACCTACTTCTATAGATATCGCAAGTTGTCAAAATAAAATATTTAAAACTTGATTCGTTTAAATCTAAATTAAGATTGGTTGAAAGAACAGCAAGAAAAAGGGCAGATCACGAACGAAAGAAATTGAAAAGAAAGCGAAAGCGAAAACGAAAACGAAAGAGAAAGCTTAAATTACTCTTTAAGGGTTCCTACACGCGTTTGTGCGTGATGAATGCCATGATCTTCATAATTGTTATAAAACACGCTCGTGTCAACATACGCTTACCATATTATTATTCAAACTGGCGTCTTCCGATATTTCAAATCACATATCTGATGAATTCTATTATCCAAATCGGCAACTTTTAAGGCAATATATTAGCTTAGCAATAAACGGGAATGAAAATAGATTACTACCAACAACTATGACTCCACCTGTAGGCGATAATGAACTTACTTGTTTAAATTCAACATTTTCATCCATAAATCCAGTTCATCAAACAAATGCAAATAATATTGACGAATGGCTTTCCCTTGATTCAAATAATGGCTTTATTCGTGTATATGATCCTAATGATGCATCAACATCGTATTCACGTTCGAAACTTGTGCCGTGTACAATGTGGACAACAGTTGAACAAATATGTTCAAGATTAAATAATGATCTAGATCCTCGTACATGGTATGTTCAATATCATGGCGATCGCATACGTCATTTAAGACCCGATGAAGCACCCCTATTTATTCAACATAGTTATCTTCTTTCAATTGGATTTTCAAGTATTCAACGTTTACAACAAGAAGGTGATAAACATGATCTTGGCTATCTTATACGATTTTTATCTGGTAAAGAAAAATTCATTGTTTGTATATTTTTGTTGATAATTCAATTTCTATTTAAGATCAACTAATAATTGATCCGAAAATTCAACCACGAAGTTTATCAACAATAGCATGGATTCGTAAAGGAAAATTAATTCGAAAATGGATTAAACGAAAATGTGTTATATCAACTAGTCGACTAACAGTTTATCCTGGTTTGTAATCAATTGAATAAATCGATTTGTTTTTTAACATTGTTTTTTTTTTATAGATGCGAATACGAATCCATGTGTTATAGAATTACAACGAGCTAATGTTGAAGAAGTTCATCTTAAGGATAAACCATTTTGTATTAAATTAACAGTTGATGATGGACGTGGTGGTGCTTTGTTTCTTGCTTTAAATAATGATGAAGAATATAGTCGATGGCTTAAACGCTTACGAAAAGTATTTTTTATTTTTATTTTTATAGAATAATATTTATTATTTGATATTTTCTGTTTGTTAGACAACAAATAAATTGCCTGATATTGCTGATTACTCTTCCACTCACCTTGAACTAATTCCAAAAGGTTTATTTATTAATTCCAAATTAAGTGTACTCAACTTACGCCATAATAATTTACTTGTGAGACCAACTAATGAAGCAGTTTTTACTGTTGGTATGTTTTTACAGAAAGAGTTCTCTTTTTTGTCGTGATGCTCTTTGGAAAAAGACTATTTAATAGGGTTTCATTATTCATTTTTAACTTTCAAGGTGATGTCAAAATTCTATCAGAAACCTTTCGTATTCGACAAACACGTTAATTTTCATACGGAATATATCTTTTACATATACTAAAACGACTATTTAATGAGAGAATACTCATAAATGATTATGTTAATAGATAGATTTATTTCTTCAAGGTTTTTATCATCATTTTGAACAAATAGTTATTTTAATTGAACGAAATTTATTTAAAAATTGTAACAGTCATTGGAGAAAACTCATCAATTCATCTTTCATTAATGAATACAGATACATGCTGATACATGAACTTTCGAAGTAAAATTAGAAATGGTTACATTTGAATTTTTGACTTGTTAAACTGTTAAATAAATGAAGTCTATTTGTAACAACCGATTAGTTTTAGAAATTTGATAGCTGAGCAAAAGGATATTCTTTTCGACTGAAATTTTAATGATATTCTATATGAAATTCGATTCTTTTTTTTTTCATGTATCCAATTTTACCGTGGACTCCTAAGATCAACGAAGATGATTTTAATATGTTACTGTCACCCAGACGACCTTGCGAATTCAGCACGAGGTGAAGCAACAAGTATCAGTTCGAAGGATTCACTCTCAAATGAAAATATTTTTGTTTCTTTCCTTTTCTAAGCAAGAATAACTAAAACATTTACACTTTCGATAGTGTACCGCCCATTGTGAATATGGCTGCGTATGATTACGAACGGTCAACTGTCAGTTTTTTCGTCTCAACTCGAATCACGTGAATTATTTATAGAGAGAAAAAAGAATTCATTACTTTCTCTTATTTCTATTACTATGACAACCGTAATTATATTGAGCGGCCGTTACGGTCGCATGTTTTCGTTGCCGATGACTTCTTTTGTAATACAATGAACACGTATAAACAATGATAAAGCCCTTCAAATATTAAGAATCGTCAATATACGAGCTCTACATAATCTATCAATTTGTTACGAAGAAAAATTTATAAAAACTCGTAGCAACTTATAACTTCCTCAAAGGTTCTATGCCTACTATGTGTGTAATCTAGTTAAAAAAAATACTTGATCCAACGGATATTTATTCAATACTTTAAGAATGAAAACGAATAATTGAAAAAAAAACGTTAACCTATGATTTTTACGTGACTATGAAGACGTTACCATATGGATCAGTAGACAACGAAACGATGCCTGATATTTGACTTTGATTATTTAGAATAAATATCTTGTTCAATCACTAAAATATTTTGAATATGAAACCATTTGAGAAAGTTCAATTGAATGAAACAAATAGATAGGAGGCGAAAAAGAAGCCGAATGAATCAAGTTAAGAGTTTATTTGTTCATGCGATAAACTTGACCTTTCCGTTAAATATAACGAGTACTTGTTTTCTATGTTCAATAAAAATTTTATTTTTTAGGTTGGCTGGATGATTTAACGCGTTTTCAATATTTAATAAGTTTAAATCTAGCTGATAATGATTTAAAAACATTCCCCAATGTTATTTGTCATCTTCCTCGTCTGAGTGAATTGAATCTTGCCAGTAATCATATTGATTCGATTCCATCTGATATTGCCAAATTACAATCGTAAATAATCTTTATTAACAATACATTGTAAAAGTTTCTTTTGTTTTCTGTTTTTAGTTTAGAAATTCTTAACTTACAAAGTAATCGTTTATCAAGTTTACCAAATGAAATTGAATATCTTAAACGATTACGCGACTTTTATTTAAGTTTTAATTTGTTTAAAGACATCCCTATGCCATTAGCACGTCTCACAAATATTCGTTGTTCAGATGTTAATAATTTATGTTTAGCAGGAAACAATATCCGAAAATTATCAATCGAAGTTTTTCAACAGTAAATAATTCTAAGATGCCTCTTTGTTTACTCTATATTCGAAATATTATTTATTTAGCCTTAAATATTGTCGTCAATTAGATTTACGAATGAATCAAGTAAAATTTGATGATAATGATTTACTCTTGTTAAATCAATTAATAAATTTAACACACATTGATATTTCACATAATAATCGTATCAATGAAATTGATCTACGTTCATTGCACAAACTTGAACAAATTCATTGTTCATATAATAATACAACACGCTTAGTTTTAAATGGCCATGCATTGCGGCAACTGAATGCTTCTCATAATAGTAAATTTATTTTCTTTTTTATTTATTTCACTTTTCTTTTTATTTGTTAGAATTAAAGCAAATTGATCTGATGACAGCACCCATCAATTTAATTCAAATTGATATAAGCTCGTAAGATTTTGCGTGAAATTTTCTTCTTATAACTAGTTGAATTTCTTCTGTGAAACAAGATTGAATAGAAGTTTTAAAGCCTAAATTCAAATATAGATGATTTAGTGCCGGTTCATTCCTTTGTTCGAGATTGTGACAGGCTGTGTGGTGATCAATCATATCAAATATCTTGTATCAATAACTTATTTTCATTATCAATAAACTATTTCTAGAGAATAAAGTAACAAATTCAAAAGATATATTAAAAACAGCAATCTCCCAACGATTAGTAGTAGTAGTAGCTACGAATCTTGTTTCATATTTCAATCAAGTAGATATTAAGCTGTTAATAGCTTCCTTTTTTTCGTTTTGTTAACTAGGAATGAATTTCAAATTCTTCCCGATTGGTTAAATGAAGACAATTCATCAATAGAACGACTCATTGCCGATCATAATCGAATCAATGTTTTACCTAACAAGTAAATCTATTTTTTCGTAAAAAATAAAATTATTTTATTTTCCGAAAAATTCTGTAGATTATTTACATCAAATAAACGCCTGCAATATATTCGATTAGATCATAATTGTTTATTGTATCTTCCCGAGAAAATCTCCACTTCCAATGTAGAAACACTTTTACTACATTGTAATCAAATTGAAAATTTGCCTGTTTGCTTATTGAAAAATATGCATCGATTAAAAATTTTAAATTTAAGTAGTAATCAACTTGTAGCATTACCATTACCCAACGATCGTACTGATTTAAATCGGCTACAAGAACTTTATTTATCCTGTAATGAATTAGATGATGATGTGTTTGCAATAATATCTCGTTATGAACGATTAAAAGTTCTTTATTTAGCTTATAATAAAATTGAACAAATTGATGATACGTAAGCGAGATCGACATATGTTTATTTTTAAAGTATTTAAATTAATTTGTCGTTTAGATCATTGAGCAAATTAAATTCTTTGACAGACTTGAATTTATCAGGAAATAATATTCAATCATTACCTCAGACTGCATTATCATCAATGGAAAATTTACAAGTATTATATCTTCATTCGAATAAACTTCGTGCAATACCTGACTTGCGTCGATTAAATTCACTTAAAGTAAATATAGTTTCAGATTTTAATGATAGTTTATTCCCCTCGAGAAGTCAGGAGTCATTGTATATTATTGCTCACACTCTTGTATTTTCTCTTTGTTCTGTAGCTAAATTATTTTCTTTATAAAGAGATTAAATTATTTTAGGTATTGGATCTTAGTTTCAATGCAATTGATTCAGCTTCCATTGACAATTTATTTCCACCATCCTTAACCATACTTAATTTATCTGGCAATCAAGAGATTAATATTCAAAGAGACAGTTTAAAATCGCTAAGGTATGTTTTTGACGTTGAATTTTATATCATCAAAGTTCCACTTTTTTTTTCTTATTAATCTTTTTCTTAGCGCATAATAATCATACATAGTAAATCAATCTAATGAAATATTTCTCGAAGACTATAAGCGATCTAGAATTGTTCAACATTGTTTTCTTTTATGAACATCATTCAAATAAACTATTCATATTGATAGACATTCAGATGTTGATATTAGTGTCTAATAACAATCTATATCCTATTTAATAACTTAAGCCCCTTTATTTTCTTTTGAAGTAATATGATCTAATGCAGAAATATTGAAGTTTAACTATAGAAATTCGTATCCTTATCACAAAATGTAACAAAACATGTACTCATGTGGCACAATATGTGATAATAATAATACATCGCTTGGAAGCTAAATCATAGATTTATTGGTTTATCTAATTAAATAATAAACAAGGAGTATGAGTGAAATAACAAATATCTACTGCATAGAGATTATAATAACGATTGAATTATTGTCATTGATAACATATAATCAATATTAATATGAATGAACACAATACAGAAAATATAAATAAAAATCTAAACATAAGAAGAATAAACCTAAAGCATGCATCACAGCTAGTACCATCACATTCATGCTTTCTATCTACTGTTAAAATTCTGTCAGTGACTGTATTTCACCATCAACATATTTTAATCACAAACTGCAGTTCATACAATGGATTATAGTTTGTGCCATAGTCCGATTAACAGTATGAAAAGTTCTATCATGTTTCACGAATAATTGACAAATAAATGGTACTGAAAGTTTTAATTTTAATTTTAGTCAAAAAAGTGTTTCTTTAATAAATATATCTGGATTATCAGATGCATCATCGGATATATCACTATGGTCCGTTGGTTTTGCTCATAGTTCGGGTAGTCGAAATAGGTTTGTAACAATAATAACGAGTATATGATTTACAAGTGATTGTATTTTAATATTTTTTAAGACTAGCAATAACAACTGTCAATGAATCATCATTTAATTATTCCAGTAATGATGCTTTATTTGCAATGTTCGACGGTGGATTAAATAATGAAGTGCCAATGATTCTTAAACATAAACTACCGGATATCCTTCAACATGAATATGAGCAATGCAATCAAGCGAATTTTTATCTTAAACATACATTTCTTTCATTACAAAAGTTAGTTATTTCTGTTCAAATAAGTTATTTACGAAATCTTTCCTTGTTGTTACTTTTCTTACTTGTAGACGATTAAGAACAACTGGACAACGTTTGGGTGCAGCATCAACCGTTGTTCATATTCGTAGTTTACCACAATCGAATACGATAAATTCAAATATCTATTCGTCAAATACAACAACAACGTCTTCATCATCATCCCAAACAGATAATCATTTTCGTTTTGAATTAAATGCAGCTAGTGTTGGCCATTGTGAAGCTATACTTTGTCGTTCATCAATAGTGCATCCATTAACACGCCGTTTTACAATTCCACATGACGAAAGTGAATGTAAACGTGTACGAAAAGCATCAAACATAATTATTAATGAAGATAATGCATTAAATGCTATAACATCTCAAACAAGAATGTTAGGTTGTTCATTTCTTTATCCAGCTATCTTACCAACACCACATATATCATCATTTATTTTAAGTAAAAATGATGAATTTTTTATCATTGCTAATAATTTATTATGGCAGGTAATTGAAGAAAATTCTTTTTCTTTTGTTTTGATTATTTCAATATGTTCTTTTCGCTTTTCTAAAGCATATGTCACATGAAGAAGCGGTACGTACTATACGTTCAATACATAATCCTGTACTTGCCTCAAAAAAACTTGTTGATATAGCACAAAGTTACGGTGCCAAAGAAAATCTAGCAGTATTAATCGTAAGATTTAATTTTCAAAAAACGATTCATCATACACGCAGTAATTCTTACCGACCTCAAAGACCTGCACGTCCACAAACTTATTCAACTAACACAAGTTCAGGTATAGGAAAACTTTATTTAACGGCTGTTCTTTTTTCCCTTAAATCTACGTCGATTAGTTGTCTAACAAATAAACATCATACGAAATTAGGAGAAATTGTATCGTGTATAGTATAAAAAAGAATTTTGCAGATCAAGAAAAAGATTAAAATTCCAAACAGACTGATTGCATATTTTGTCATTATATTGGTTTAGTCCCGATTCGTCCCAGATTGATCCCATCCCCAATACGTCCCAATTAAAATTTTCCTTAACTTGTCCTTGTCTTTTTTAGCCACTCTCAACTCGTCCCTGACTGTCTGTAAATTAATGTAGGATGTTATTAGAGAAAGAACTATTTAGTATCAAAGAAAATAATATTACATTAAAGCTATTACGCTATTTATTTCTGGACCAGTTTTATGTTCCCTTTTCTTGTATATTGATGTTCTTCAAAGTTCAACACAGACTTTGAACATTCTCTATATGTGAACTTAAACATGATAGTTATTTGGTTGACTAGATAGATAAAAGAAATTTTCTTTCGAACTGCAGAAGACCAACGAGCTTTAGTATACTTCGCATCCAATAGATGCTGATAATCACGAAATTCAGAAAAATTAAATACCTATTAAGCATGGGACGAATCTGGTAGCGATTCTTTATATTTATATGTTTATTGATTGATTCTCTATTATTGCTAATTAAATTTATCACTGGGTAAATGTTATCATAATTTATGATAGAATACTCCTTTGTGTTTCATTCATGCATTCTTCTTCGATTTTTTTAAACATTTTCGTACATTTCGTTTTTCTTGCTATGATGAATAATAATTAATTGCATTTAATTTTGTTTATTCTCTGTAGGTGAATATTCACCAACAGCAAGTCCATTATTTCCATTATTAGATTCAACGGGTTATTTAAGTGTTGGTGAATTAAGTGGCGGTGACGAATATGATTCAAATGAAGAGCAATATTCATCAAATATACCAACAAATTCTACCAGTGATTATTTTTATCATCAATCTGACCAAATATCGTCTAGCGACGATCCTGCCACACTACATGATTCGATGAGAAATCGTCCTCTGACACGTCGTGGGCGAACACATTTCTTAACTGCATCACTTAATGATACATCAACCATAGATGATGGAAAAAATGGCAAAGTCTTTCAGTCTGATACAGGACTATTTAATTTTCCTGCATCAAATGCTCAACCTGTTCGAATAGTGCCAAGTCAATTGTCAATTGTTAGTGAAATGCTTCCGCCATCACCACCACCACCAACGTTATCACGAACAAAAAAAGTTAAAAATCCATCCTTAACTGGTGATTGGTAATTGTTTAATCTTTAATTTAAAAGTAAATTTTCATTCATTGTTATTCTTTTCATTTTGTTTGATAGTCCATCGCCACGACGATCAGGACGTTATCGGAAAAAATTGACGCCCCCAGCTCGTCCACCATTAGGTTACTCTAAACCTCCTCGAACCGATTATTCAAGTAATAGTGATGTATCCACTGATGGACATGATTTTGATAATTCACCCATATATCCAGCTGGGTTACGTCCTGTAGCTGATGCTATTCTATCAGCATCATCCAGTGATAATGATGGTCATGATGAGGATGATGAAGATTTTTCTTATGTTGTTGATAAAATGAGTTTAACATCGACCAATACAACAACAGACTATCAACAGCAACAGAATGAATTAAATTTATTTGTTCAAAAGCATTGTCCATCGATTTCATCAACAACACAATCAACTGTGAATAGTACAGTAACATCATCATCGGTTACAACAAATGCTCCCCAACCGATTCCAAATAAAATTACTCGGCTCTAATCAACGAATTAATGTTTTTCGTGTTTTTATTAATTATTATTCTGTTATTTATCAGTATTTATTCTTTACTAACAATACGTTTCTCATATCTTTTTCTCATTTTTTTAAAAATTGTTTGTTGCTGTTTTTTTTAATGTTTTATGAATGATCATTTATTGGAATATTGATAAATGTACATTGATTATTACGAATTGTTGAATATCTCTCTATAATATTCATATTCAATATTACTCAAGATCTCTAATCATGTTTAGAAAATAAATATCCGTTTGACTTATGTAACAGGAATGGTTTTCAAAATAAATTTTTCATAAAGTAACAACAGAATAAAATATAGGAAATTTCCAAGGGGGGGGGGGGGGATAATGATTGGTATCTGCTTTTTATCATGCTTGATCGAATATATTTCATTAGTTAGAAGCAGTTAAGTAGTTTTTTGGCAGTTTTTCACCGAAAAATAGAATTTATTTTACTATTTTACAGCAAAGAGGCAGATTTTATTAAACTCCTGTATAATTTCGACGAAAATATACACGTTTGACGGTTTAAATCGAGGTTTTCGCCTACTTCCTCTGCGTTCTAGCAATGGCGAGTGAGAAGGGGAGAACAGAGCCAAAGATTATTGGGTAGATTTCTGTAGCATAGAGAAAAGGCGCGTAAGCAATAACGATGGTTATATTATTCTAAAACTCTGTACACCCTAACTACGTAGTCTAAATATGGCAAGTTTTGGTATTTAACGCAACGAAATGGTGTTATTGTAGATGTCATTCAGTAGATCGAAGCTATTATTCATTTAATAGAGTAAGAATAGAATGAGCACCATGTAAAATTATGAAATAGTTCAATTCCAAGTTTAGAAAAAACTCAACTTACATCTCATAATTTGTCAACACAAGTAATCGTGTGTCAGACTCTTCCTAAATGATCTAATCAATGTATATAGCAAGTTAATATGGTAGTCAAATAGACGATTGAAAGAATAAGATGATATTTACACTTGATATAACGTGTCGCATATTATCATTGGAAGAAAAGAATTGCTCCATTGAGGATGTAATGTATTTCATAATAGAAAAAACGTTTGCAGTCTAACAATATTAAATGAATCTAATAAATTGCTCGAATAATAATAATACATGGATACATTTTTGACATGATTAAATATACGAGCACGCGTATCCACTTGAAAAAGTTGTAATTGTTTTGGATAGTTTATTTGTTAAGTTATTGGGCGCACTTTCACATTTTATCTCAAGTATACAGTAAATAGAGTTTCTGAATTCCATATTTTTAGCCCTCAAGAGACTAAAGCGATAAGTTTTTCGACAGCTTTTACCATATCAATCAAATTATCGAACAATTTTCTGATACATAATCAGATTCCCAAGCAGTTTTCAACTGATTGAGTACAAAACGATTCTTTGACTTTTCAAAATCAATCAAATGAATCTGATTGTCCAAGTCAGAACAGTTAGAAAACTTGACTGGTTGGCACGTTAGAAACTGCTCTAAAATATGGGCGACCTTTTTCTTTAATTTCTTTTATACTAAAGGATAAAGATAAATTATTTACTGATCGCTTTTTCCTAAAGATAGAGAATTCATTTATCTTTGCTTAGTGCAGTAAGACTAAATGAACAATCATATTCTATAGCTAATTAAGTTATCAATATTCTCCGATGGAACTTGCACCAAAACTCTTAGAAATGCAAATTTCTATCGCCTTTGATAATGAGGAAATGAGAAAATTTTCGATCTAAGCGATCTCTCTTGTTTCATACTTTACGTAGATTTTTGTTTTCGACATCTTTATTTCGAATAAAAAATTAGCCGAAATGAAAGAGATCGATACATTCTGGTTATAGTCAAAATTCGACTATGTTGTACGACTCCTTGAAAGCACGATGCTGTAGTGAATTTTCTAATTTAGCAATAGCAGAGTCAGTCCGGTCCCATGTATCGATTTTCAAAACTCATTAATTACAATACCATCGGATTCTTTTGGATTCATAAAAACGTACATTTTAGTAGTATCTTAAAGAAGTCAATTAGTGCCAGATAAAATACAGCTAGGCAATAAGAAATAACGAGCCACGAAAAATCGACAACTTCTCTTTCTACAAAGACCTACGGTAGGTGTGAAGGTCTCTCGTTTATAACTAAAATGGAGAATAGATGTCCTTTTTAATCTAACTAGCTAAGCTATCCTTTGTTGCGTTCTGTTGACAATCAATCTCTATATTTTTACTTAGTCGTGTTCGTAAGTCATTTATGATCGGGTTCTCAGAAGGATGCACCAGCCGATAGCTAATACAAAGCCATCATTGTATATTCATGTCTTCGTACCCAGGTCGAGCAATCCGACAGTAGGCACCTATCGGAACCCATCCGATCAGACTGGAATCCAATAGGATTTTTATCGGATCCTGCCCGATCTTACAGAACTATCGTTGGATCCCGGGTCGAGGAATCGATGTCGGATCCTCAGTGTCGGATTCCTATGAATTCCAAGGAAAAACCGTTGTATGCCATCGGAAGTTCATAGGATTCCGACACTGAGGATCTGACATCGATTCCTCGACCCGGAATCCAATAGAATTGTATCGGATTGTAGGATATTTCCAGGTCCCTATCGAATCCGATCTGATGTCGGATCAGTCGACCTGGATAGGTCGGTGTTCAGTGTGAACAAACTGTAAAACATCGTGCGCGATGGTCTTCATATGAGAGACAGCGTACTTCACACAGAACGTTTTCTCCATGCATACAACAATAAATATATGCAGTTTTTAGCCAAACTAATAACGACGTCAACGCGGATGGTCGGAAATACACAATTTCAGTCCCACAAAGTAGTTTTCGTATATTCTTTGTGATGCTGTTGTTCCATCGCAGTACTTTCTCGGTCTTGAGAGTCACCAATAATGATGTTCGAACGGAGTCTATAGAATATCGTGTGGTTCTCAACTTTTTGGTTAAGATTGGTGATAACATACACAGAGAGGCTATCTTTTGTGTTTGATACAGAAAGCAAAATAAAAAATGAAGTCATCTACTTGAGCGCTCAGGCTGCTTTATATTTTTGGAGTTTACTCTCTTCACGATCCTTCACTTCTTGACGTTTGAGAACTCCTCTCTCCATACCATTGAAC